CTCTGCATGTTTGCCCTGTGTGGTTTAGAGACCTCCCAGACAGTTTGTCAAACAGAAGAAAGGACACACCGACAGACAGCTAGAAAACAGTGTGGTCAAGCTCTGTCTTCTTGTCCATCCCCAGTCCCCTCACTACTCTTTGGAAACTTAAACTTTATGAATTCATATTTTTCTGTCTTTCCTTCATCTGAACATATCTGTGGAGCGGTCATCCGGTGTGACCAGTCCCCTTTCCACACAAGCTTGTGAGAGGACTTTAGAAATGTTGTTCAAGGACAGTTTTCATTCCTGGAAACCATAATGAATTATCTTTGTGATACCTGACCTGGCTCAACTGCACTTCAGAAAAAACTATAAAGATGCATTGAGACCACCTGTAGTTGAATGGTAAAAAATACATAGTCCTCTGCTAAAGACAATATCTATACTACTTGCGTCTCAAAACTATCTGCTCTCTCCTGCCTCGGAAAACTGGTAAATCTTCATTACACCAGATAGCCTTGTAACTGAGATAATCAGTTCCGATTACTTGGGAGATGTGTAAATGGGAAATGACACAGAAGGGTTACACAGAACCTTAGTTAGAGAGGCAAAGAACTCACAGAACAAAGTGCCAACAGCTTGGAGCAGGGAGTTGCCCAGCTTTTCCTACTCCGGCTCTTCAAAACCCAACCCAGATATTTCCTGGTTCTGACACCAGTTTGGCTCTTGAATCCCTCTTTCATGTGGAGAGAAATAAGAGAACAATTACTTTGACTGTTCTTAAGTAAAAAGGAATGAATGTCAAGGACCGCTAATGCAGACTGTTGAACGTTTAGGAGGGAAAGAGATGTATTTATTTGTGAAAGTTGCTGCAAAACACGCATTCTATCAGAGCTGTTTGACGTATTCTTGTTCGTTTTGATAGCAATGGTGCATAAATTTGACACCAAGGGAGTGTTTTGAGTCAAATTCAACAAAAGGGAGAAAAATGAATATTTCAAAAGCAAAAATAAATCAAACAATTATTTGTCTCAAGGACAGAATTTTTACCATAAAAGCATACGCGCACCGCAGCAGCGGTGCATTGAGACATCTTCATCTCTGAACTGTGAGTGTGTGCTCGTTTTTGACACTGACTTGGCGAAGAGACCATTTTGGTTTCCAAGACAGCGGCAAGGGCCCCACAGTGATCTGGCCATGGAAAAGGCCTTAACGCAAACTCAAGTAGAAGTCTATGTGTGTGCACATGCCAGTGCACGTGTGAGACCACATTTGAGCTTTTCTGTTTTGCAATGCCCACCTCCAAACACACTGAGGCTTCACACACACACACACACACACACCAGTGAATACATACTCACGCACTCTATTGCCTTTGCCCTGCTCTCTCACTGGGTGGTCCGTACTGCAAATGTTTATGATATAAACCAAGCTAATCCAACTGGCTTGTTTCAGTGAATTGAGAATGATTTACAAGATACAGAAACAGAGCCAAGGAGGGAGAGGAAATCAGAGGAAATCTATGGGCTCCATTTCAAGTCACTGTGTGATTAAACCTGCACAAGTGTCTGTGTGTCTATCTGCATGCTTCCTCCATCTGGTCAGGTCTAAAAGTTGTTGAATGTTGTATCGAGTCTTTTATTGATTTATCCTCCTCTCCACACTGGCTAGATGTCGGAATTTATTCGAGAAATAAGATAGGTTTTGATGTCCTGCAATGATTTTGTGTGGATCCTTTGATCCAGTTCTATTTTATACTCTCCCATTTTCCCACAAAAGACATTGAATGGTTACTCTTACCAATGCATTTGGAAAAGCATAACCCACTTTCTGGCAATAAATATGCTGATAAAGATGTGTGCATTGTGATTGTATTGTTTCTGTTAATTAAAGGATATACTTGTGGCATAGTATCATTTATTCTGTATCACTGATTCATTTATAAAAACCTGCTGCACACCAATAAACACTTATCACTGAGGAGTTTGCAAAGAAGTGACTGTTCATTTGTGTCAGTGGCCCCATAAAATTTCAATTTAAGAGGGCAAAGGGAAATAATGTAAGATGAACTGCATTTTGAGATGATGAAATGAAGAGTACATGATTGTTCTTAATTGGGGTTGAAATTCTGTCTGAGGAGTAAAAAGAGAGAAAATAATAACCACTAACAAAAAATCTTTTGCTTGTGCGAATTCTTTTTGCTTGCTAGGTTGTCTCTAGAGTTGTAAAGAACATTTGATAAATGTTGAATCTGAGTTCAAAGCTTTGATGTACTGTTATTGGAACATCAGGTGAGCGTATACATTAGCATTGTAAAAGTCCTGATCATAAACTTCACTTACTATTAAAGTGTAAAGTTAAAATCCAGGATATTTGCATGGCATGATGTTTATGCCAAAACAAAGCCTACTGACAAAATGTTATCCACTTTTTCTGTCTCAAAATGTGTCATATTTTCTCAAGAAATACCTTGTATGTTTTACATGCATGTTTTTTTATTTAGGCCAAAAACTTGATTCACTCTTGAACAATTTACTGAACATCTTTCTGAAAACAAACAAATAATTCCAAAGTCTTATCATTCTCAGTGATTCAGAGTGGTTCAATGATGGAAAGATGTAAGATCTCCATCTTTTTTTAAGATTATGTGTTTAGTTTTTAAAATGCATATTTTGAAAATGAGTTTTCAAATGATATCCCTAATTTTAAATCTTGAATTTGACCCAGATATAATTTCACCTGTGTTATGCTGTGCTATGAGGGCTTCCCCTCTGACATAAGACAGCTGTCCTTGACCTGGAATGAATCTTGTAAAAAAAAAACTCAGCACTCTTTACCATTCTCTTGTTAGCCTTTAGTGGAATTCACATTTACATCTTGTCAAGTGATCTCTCGATGGCAGTTCTCCAGTTTAGTAATGTGCAATGTCTCACACACATCAGCTCCCTGTGGTTAACCAGCCAAGCAGTAATGTCTGTGAGTGTCAGTGAGAGAGTCAGTGGTTTGGTTTGACTTTTATTGCAGCCTTGGTTTTTTTGCCAGATCCTTCTTTTTATGACGCTAGAGAGATGTCACCTGAACACTGACAACACCTTGTAAACCAGTGGCCTGATGACGATGAATGGAGAGAGTGTTTTGCAGGCTGGATGTGAAAAAAAGCAAGGATCTTTGTTCCTATGAACATATCTATATTTGTAATTAACATTGCTCTACTCTTTTCTGTGCTTCCATCTGAAAATTGCTTTTCAGTCAGATTATCTTAAATGTTTTCTGTGATGCATTTACTGACCCATTCGGTGGCTGTTCTTTAAAAGTGTATTACACTTACAGTACAAGGGAAAATGTCTCCAGAAGCAGTTGAAAGAATGAAAAAACGTTCACATTGTTCCAAAGAGATACATGTGATCATGTCCTGTTCTCAAAGCAGGTGACAGATGGGCATTCATTTAAGGTGTATTTTCAGGTTCATGGACAAGCAATGATTGTAGTATTCCACAAATCTTTATTTTTGTTTTTTAAGATGACTCTCTTTGTAAGATGACTTACCAATATTTGTAAGATGACTATCTTTATTGTAAGAAATAGATCCAGGTACGTTTAATAGCATTTAGAAAATGTTTGGAAATGTTGTTATTTGGTTTAATTCATTCAGGAGAGCCAATAGGATGTCAGCTAGCTTGGCAAGTGGAAGTCTTGGACACAGATAGTTGGCTAAAGTGTAGAAGAATTATTTAACACATGCTCTATGGGCTAAAAATTATAATTTTTTGGGATACAAGTCATCAGAGTAAGCTCCAAATGGGAAGCTTTCAGTGGATTTAATGGTGTAACATTTATAAGTGAAGCATCTTTCAACATGCGATTAGAAATCAGTCCAAACTTAAAATGTAGCTGTGATGTTCAATTTTCCCAATAGTGTGGACCATAAATTTTAACATATTTCATAGTCACAACTAGGTAATTGCTGTGGCAGAGTTTCTGTTAAGCATTTTCAAAATTTAAGTTCCCAGATTGAAAAAAATAGCTTGGTCTGAGACATCCAGCCCTTACGGGCATGTTCCAACCAAGTGAACTAAAGGATCATGTAAACTCTTTCTCAGTGGCCAAAACTTACATGGTTTAGACTAGTAATATTACTACTATTTCCACTGCACACCATGCACACCTTTGTAGCAACAGTCTATACTGTACACTGCTGTTTCAAAAATAGCAGCAACTTAGCATTGGCTTTTAAAGTACCAGATTACATTGGGCAATTTCCAAAAAATCCATTTGCCAGTGTGTAATATGGAATTCAGGTAACAACAGATAGTCAAGCTACTTTGTCTTTTCTCCTTTTTTCCCCCACTCTCATTCTTCACTCCCTTGTTGCTCGCTTGCTTTTAAGCAAGCAGTAATGAGCAGTCAAGCTCATCTCCTTGGCCAGAGCAAACAAAACCAAAGCCACATTCCCCGAGCTCAATTTGCTGTTACGTCTCAGCTCTGTGGATTGAGAGTTTTCAAGCTTGAAGTCTGGAGGAGTAGCTTTGTGACTTCTGGCTGCTTATCTGATCACATCACTTTGGTGAAAATGTGAACCCTGGTAACTTGTTCAACTATAACCAGGTGAAAATAAGCATTTTAAAAATCTTCTAATAATCTTAATCATTATTATTATGACCACCAAGATTAGGTTTTACCACTTTAAGTAGGATGAATTGTTTTCTGCAAGTAAAACTTTGACCAATCAGCAATGATAGGATAAGCTTCAATAAATACATTTATTAAGAGATTCTATGTTGGTTTATGGTCTTATGTTTTCCAGCATGAGTTTTTTCTGCTCAGTGTTTAAAAACCTCTGTATGGTTTCAGTTGTTTTTTTGTTTGTTTTTTTGGTAACTGGATGCAATTTTCAGAGAATGTATTTTTAAAAAACGTTTTCTGAAAATTGCATTCATCGACTAAACGATTCACTTAAAGTAAAGAAACTTTCACATAATCACCGTTTCTAATGGCTAGGAACCACATTACATGGGACGTTCGTACCCTGGCGGACACATTTTGATGAAACGCACGAAGATGTCATCATACGATGCTAATCGTTAGCTTAGTTTTTGCATTTCTTGTAAAAGATCATATGTCGTAGGTTATATTTTGACACTGCGACTACTTTGGTTCTCTGTATTGTCCTGACACTTTATGTGTCTGGTTTCAGACTGACACTGGATAAGCGGCATCGTTTACACCTCTGCACTAATAAATAATCAAGTGCTAACAACAGTGACAGCAACTTAACTTGCATGCGTCGGCCACCACTGTCATTTCCAAACAGCTGATAAACTGGAAAAAAATCATCTGTGGCAGGTATGTGATTTTTTTTAGATGTTAACAATGCTTGTTGTAATATTTAATTGAAGCCATAGTGTGAATTGGTGTCGCACCGTAGAGGAACGCTTATGATTTACTGGCAGATTAAATGAGTGTAGCCGTCCATGTGGTTGCTGTGTTTGGGACGAGTATCGAACTTCTTACTTTTTTTGGTTGTTTTTTTGTTACAATTATCAGTTGTAGTATTAATTATGATAATGAAATAACTAGAACAATAGAGCTATGGTTATTCGTCACGTATAGAGTATAATTATTTAATCAACAAATGGACTGCTATCTGAAACTAAAAGTTGATAGAATATAATTAACACAGCACTATGATAACTAGTGGGTCATATTGGGGAAAAAGAAAATAATGATGAAAAAAAGCTGTATTTTTCAAAGAAACTCTTCTGAGCCGAATACCTGTAGATTTGTTGTTGTGGTGGTGATAATAGATATCCATGTCTCATTTTAATTATCATAATTATTTTACAATGATTTAGGGTGTCATCTGAGGTATTTCCATGAAGTTGCTCTGGATTTTTAGAAATTTAATTTTTTTTCTTTGAAATAATCTGGCAAGATGTCCATTTCAATAATTAGTAGGGTGCATCAGATGCTTTCAGTGTATCTTGTCTTTTTGTTATATCTGTCATTTATGGGATATTTTTTTGCCTGCCTGTGAATAAAGCATTTATTCTGCTTATGTTTTATAAATTATTTATTTCGTCATGTATTTGTCACATAGTGATTTTGATATGTAAGAACATTTGGAAAACAAGCCAGATTGTTTACATTTCTAAGACAAAATATACATACTGAATAAATTTCTGTTTATATTTTCTGTTCATGTGTGTTTATACATATTTGCCCATTCAAACTCAAAATTAAATATATTTTACAATGTAAATTTCTTTTACATTTTGGTTTCAGGCTCTATGTTTACGCAATAGTAGTGTGAAAAGGATGTTCAAGACATCAGCCAAAAAAATCTAAATCAAATCTAATTCCTCACTTCACAGAACCCTTCACATCCTCTGCAGTGGTGCTTTTAGTTGCAGCCTGCAGTCCCGCTTGTTCAGCATTCTTGACTTTTTTTATCTGGCTTCTTTAAGTGATCATGTAATTGTCTGGATTGACATAAAGCCAGCAGGAGGCTTTTGCACCTCCTTGCATTGCATTGGTATATATGCAACTGTGTAACTGTTATAGGCCATATATTCTTTGTTTTCCATCATAAATATGTTATTTCATATTGCTGTAAAGCTTTCACTGTCTCACTTTTCCGGTTTTCCACGCAGAAGTCATGGAGCTTCAGGCGGTGTTGATGGCGGCTGGGGGAGGATCTCGTATGACGGATTTGACATACAACACCCCCAAATCTTTGCTGCCCGTTGGCAACAAACCACTCATGTGGTATCCTCTGAACCTGCTGGAAAGAGTGGGCTTTGAAGGTGATTGCTTGAATATTTGTTTCCTCAACTACCACTGCTACAAGTTACGCTTAGTATTGTAAATGTTCTTTTTCATCACAGAATAAAAAAGTTAACCATTTCTCCTCTAAAATTATATTGCTTTTCTCTGCTTGTGGGATCTTATCCTATCTTCTGATGAAATCGGGTGTTAGCTATGATTCCCAATCAGTTTGGCATCTCAAAGTTATTTGGCCATGCATACTCTAAACTCTCTTATCTACTCTGTATTGTGTCACTCTTAAGAATCAGATTTCTTAATTGGCTTTACTGAAATCCCAGATCCAGCTAGCTTATGAGCAGATGTCCAGTTAGTCATAAAGAAAGCAAGGTCATTTGTGACCTATCGAAAAATAGGTCATAAATTACCTTAAAAATGGGTCATAAATTCACATTTTGTCTGATGACGTATTGATATTATTCTGAGCTCTGTGCCCTCCACTCATGTAAACTTGTCCGTGGTAGGAGCTGAAAGAGTTACGGGGCACACAGACATTGTTGGTTTCCACATAAAATGTAAAGAAGCAAAAATCCAGCTCGTAGTTTTATGTGACCCACTTTGGAAGTCTGGAACATAAAGTGGAAAAAGTTACCTTTGAGAGAAAAAAGTTCACATTCCACTTACTCAAATTGACTTTTTTTTCTTAACCTTTGCTGACACTCCCATAAAGAGAAAACCAATTTTTTTCAAGTGAGAACATACAATGTGATAATCATATGTGATTTAAAATGATAATCTTTCATATTACAATTTTTTAAAGCATATGGACATTATTTGGCTGACAGAAACCAGATATCTGTGCTGAATTACCCCATCTGAGCCTTTGAATTATTTGTAGGCATTAAAAGCTTTGCTAGGTGCTTTAATTCTGATCATGTGACATGGGCCTATCATTTTTTGCAGTTTCAAAGCAGTCACTATATTATATACAGTTTAACAGTACTTTACTAGATACCAGATATCCAGTACTCTTTATTTAAGAAGGGAATCGGCCAGTTTCTGAACCTGAAGGTAAGCCTTGAGTAGCGTATACAATATGTTGATTGCTCAGGTTGATCTACTGCTGGGTCTTATTTTCTATACAACAGAATGTGATGTTCCTCTGAATGGAGAAACCCATTTAAAACCAGTACTTAAACATTAGGAAATGAAAAAACACAGACGCATACATTCAGTGAATGTATTGTCTTTAATACCTGCAGAAGAAGATAAATGCATTTAAAAGTTTTCCCAAGCAAAATCTGGAGGTTCGTTTTTCTGTGTGAAATGCAGTCACTTTTTTACCAGCCTGTCAGGACGTTATTAGCCATTGTCAGGTGTGCATTTCCTGTCTAGATTTACAGTCCAGGTTTCTGACTTGTGTGCTGTAGTATGCAGTGGGTCTGCAAACCTGGGGCTGATAAAGAGTTTTTTTTATTTTTGCCCCAGACTGCTGTTCCTGCCAGTAAACTGGACTATTCATTACAGAAGCCTGCAATTCTTCAGTCGTCTAAATGAAAGTTGCTTTCTATACATAATCACCCTGTGTGGCCAGCAGTTTACTGTGTGCAGCCTGCTAGCCAAAGCTTGGCAATTAGAATTTACTGGGCTGACACAGCTAGACTGAGCAAATGCCCTGTAGAAACCATTTTATGCAGACAAGGCTAATTAAAGCAGACGGACTCTACTATGTTTTGGATTCATAAAGTGTTCTTGTAGTGCTGCTACCTACTTTATAAAGGAGCAAAGACATGTTCTGTCATATTTTCTTGTATAACGAACACTCGTTCATCTTGTGAGATGCTTATCTTTTTGGTCTTGTGTTTTTCAGAGGTCATTGTGATAACCACTAAAGAAGTCCAGAAAATGATGAGCACAGACTCGAAAATGAAAGTGGATGTCAAGATGAAACTGGATGTGGTTTGTATCCAGGAAGACGGGGACATGGGTACCGCTGATGCTCTCAGGCACATACAACAAAAGATCAAGGTGTGTGTATTTTTGAATGTGTAGACTCCACCTCACCCAGACACTTGTAGACCTGGTAAAAAAAAAAAAAGAATTGAGACGTCAACCATTCTAACCATGATCGTTAACATCATTGTCAGAATGTAGTCGTTTGACTTGTGGAAACTTTTTTGCTTCATTGTTAGAATTGAGTAAAACTACAAAATACAGAGAAGAAGTTAAGTGCTTAACTATCACTGCATCGCCTGTTGTGATATGTATGTGTATGTGATCTTAAATTTTTGTCAATGTCAATGGAATTAGTTCCTTTTCAAACATTTAGACTCGCACAAGATTGATATGAGGTCAAAGTTGCCATCAATAATCCAACAAAAAAGTCTACCATCCAACATCTTCCTCTTTAAGTGTATGTTTAAACAGAAAAATACTAACAATTAAGAAATTGCATTTAATTGTCTCTTTATTTCATTATTACAGGAACTAGCAGAAAAGCAAATTAATTTATTAAAAGATGAGGACCCATTACTGTTCATAATCATTTCTACTTTAAGCAATCCAATGTCAGCAGTGTGATTTTCTTTAAGAGGAAAGCTGCAACTGAATATTTCATCTTAATGGAGGAGCTAATCAGCTCTTGGTACAGAGTACCAGCTCTGTGGTACCTGGACACCAGGTACCACAGCTCTGCCAGTCAGTGTTTTGTTAGGGGGAGTTTTCTCTCACAGTTCAATAGGGTTAAGCTTAGGTGGGGGGGGTGTTTTACTGGGTGATCACTGTTCCATGCCTTTCCCTCCCCTGGATAGCCAGTGAAGTGCCTCATTTCAGCTTTTTAAAACATGCCCAAACACACACAGTCATATTCTTTCACACATGCTGCCTTGGTTTTCATGACCCCCCCCCGAACCAACTCCAATTTCCAGAGGCTCCTCTGTATTCAGTCTGCTGATCCCACCATCTCTCCATCTAATTTTCTTTAAACAGATGATGTCATCGTTAAGACTCAAATTCCCTTTGCCGCCAGTGTACCCAGTGCACCATTTATTCTCATGCAGTTGTCATGCACAACTGTGTAACATTTGTGTTTGAGTATGTTGGGCTGTTCGGCATCCCTCTGTGTACGCCATGGTTCTGAATGTCAGTGGGAGGTTTTGTGTGTAGAGCCATGGATGGAATTTAAAAAATCATGATTTTTAAATATTTGGAAGGTTGGAAATACGGCTTTTTTATTAACAATTAGCTCCTGCGTCTAAATTATTGTGACTTTATTAGAGATTGTGCTTGTGAACTAGCTCATAATGTGGAAGTAAATTGAACGCATGTCTATGATGGGAAAAAAAAGAAAACATAATGCATGGATTTATTGAGCTGCATTTGTCTTCTGATAATCTTTCAGTTAATTAGCAGTGTATGACTCACGCGGCTTTTATTAGTATTACAGCTATCCTGTATGAAATATGAACTAGCTGTACTTGTTGGGCTGTATCTTTGTGCCTTAAGATGACATTAGGTGGGATTTGGCACAGAACATTGGAAAATGACCTAGACCTAATAATACAGTGTTCCCTCATCTATTGTGGGGGCTGGGTTCCAGACCGCCCCACACCTTGTTGGTTGTCTGCCATCCATCGGCCATTAGCGTGCTGTGTATGAGCTCACGTGGATAAAATAGCTCAAGCCCAAGGGGCCGTATTACCAAGGCTTGGTGTTTACCCACTTAAACATGATGGTGACCTGTGGTGTGTTTGGATGCAGATGTTTCTCAGGTAACACACATATGATACATTCTACATGAATCCACATCTGCTCACATAAATACACTTGAACAGAACTAGCTCCTGCATGCTCCTGTTGAGAATAGTTCGGTTCTTAATCCTTCAAGCTGCCCACTAGATTAGAGGCATTGAGTTACACACGCTCACACTCCACAGGGTGATGAGTGAAGAACTATACCCAGGGCCTGCCAACTCCCAGCACAGAGATCACTCCATCTGTCAAAGTGATGCTTCAGCACAGAATAGACACTAACACACCTACTCGTGTCTTTGTGCAAACACCCTCCCATGAGGGGATTTGGTGTAAGCTATCAAACAAAATACTTACTGGAATCGGTGTACAGTCTGAGTGAGCACTGAAGGCCATTTCTCTCGACTATTGAAAGGGGAGATTACAAGCAGCATATTTTATTTTGTTCACTCTTCAAACAGTGAAGTTGTACAAAGGTGGATGCACATACTGATTCATGCACACATCTTTCACAATAGCCCACACCAGTGAAAGGAGTGCTTTCCGTGCACTTTTTTCCCCTTTGTATACTTAAAGCCTCCTTGACATTTTCATTATCGTTCAGGCTTAGTCACCTGGCAAAATAAGTATATATAGGCCAAAATAACTAAATGTGCTTTGGGGTTTCTCATTCACAGAATTGCCTTTGGTCAATATTTGTCAGCTTCTTAGATGTGAGGGATGGAGCTGAGGCCTTTCATGAGAAGAACAGAATGTTAAATTTCGAGGCCTCATTTTTTTCTGTTCGTCCCTTTGTCAGGTTTTCCCTTTACCCCCTCTCCCACTGATTTCTCAAACACTTCTCATGTAGCTCGACGTAAATGGGATCCATTTAACAATGAAATAACAAACAATCGATTATATGCTTATCAGTTCCAGTTTTCATGATTTACTGCCTTCTTAAATTTTACCTGAGAGGCTAATTATAAATTCCATTCAATTGTATTTTTCTACATCCATACTGTTGGCAACAAAACATTTTATATTCTAAGAGGGCCTTTTCAACATAGGTACAAATTGTGTATAAAGTAGTTATTGATAGGAGCAATACACCACTGACAGAAATATTTCTGAGTGTCAATGTCTTTTTTTTCCCCTTTTTTTTGGAGGGGGGTGAGCATCAGTGTGTGTGGTCCTGACCTGTCCAGTGATCCTGACTGTTGAAAGGCCAAAGTGTCTCTCCAGCTGACTCTACTCTGCTGTCGCCTGTGTGTGTGTGTGAGTGTGTGTTGGCTGAATGCAAGCACATTTGAGTCCATTTGTGTCTGTGCACGCACACATACTTTTGGATTCTGTTTGCGAACATGTGCACAAGTTTGGCAGCGTGTGATAGAGGTGGACGACATGAATGATCTTGGTCTTGGTGTCATGAGAACCCCAGCTCCCGCTCACATAGCCGTGCATTTATCGTGATCAATATATTTCAAATAGAAAATCCTACGAGGATAGGCTTGCACTTCTTTCTACAGTAATAGACTCTTTCCGCATGTAGTTTTCAGCGGTCCCGTTTCCCTCATTCTGTGCTTCCCATTACAGACAGAGCAGCAATGCCTCTGTCATTAAGGCTGTGGGCTCTAATGGTGGGATTAGTTGCTATGCTGACAGCCTTCATCACTGGACAGACGGATGAATAGCACAGAGACTCCAGTGCGGGCACACCCACATGCAAACACACATACATGCTGACATGTAACATCTGTGGATCTGAGTGTAAAGTGACTCACACATTCTGTACTTCCTTGGTATGAGATTATATGTATCAAGAGGAATTCATGAACTCTACATTATTTGTACTTGGTATGTGTGGTTAATGGCTCACTAATTGACACAAGTGACAAACTGTTCATTCTGACACACTGAGGCATTTTCTAAAACAAAAAGACAAATCCATGAAACATGATCACACTCATCCCGCTTTGGTTTTGAAATATTCATAAAATCTGGTGATTATTTTATCTGTCATCCAAGAGTAAAATACGAGTTATGTTATGTAAATCCATCTGCTTGTAAACTCACAGCTGGTAATGGCTATGTTATTTGATTTTATACAAATTTAACAATGAACAATGCTTCTTTTCTATACATTAGCAGAACTTTAGAACAGATTGTGATTACAGTTAGTGTGCATTACAGAAAGTTTGAATAGCTCTGAAGAGAAGTAATGAGCCATAATAACAATCAATATTTAATTTAACAGTGTCCCCGTGTCCTGTTGAGTATTATCGTATAAAACATTGTTGCCCCACGTGTTTGTGTAGTCTGCACGGTTGCTGTGATGACTCTGATGAGAAAAACTTCTCTATAAAACCACCGCTTTGTGTGGTTTGTCTATATCAAAAACTTTGTCTACTGTGTATGCACTTGTGATGCTGTGATCTCTTTAAAAGTACAAGAAGTTGAGAGATTTTGTTCAAAAAGCCATAAACGCATTATTTTTAAGATCTTAACATTTTTATAGTAGTAACACAAAACTCTTTTTGAGCCCCTTTCGATGCAGACATCAGTATATCCTGATGACACTGATGATTTAATGGACCGGCTCCACTGTTTTCTCCCTGCAACATTTTTCCACAGACAGATGTCCTCGTAGTGAGTTGTGACCTGATCACGGATGTGGCGCTTCATGAGGTGGTTGACCTGTTCAGAGCCCATAATGCAACGCTGGCCATGTTGATGAGCAAGACCCATGAATTTACAGAAACGGTTCCAGGGCAGAAGGGCAAGAAGAAGACAGGTAACAGAACCAAGACAAAACTGCTATAGGCATAATATGAAGTGTCATTGGAGCTCAGATTAAACTTCTTTCATTTTATTATGTTTTATTAAGTTATTGACTTGTATTTACCTTTATTCTTATATTTGTATTTTCTGTTGCAGTTGAAAAAATTGGCTTATATCATCGCATCTGTAATGACATGTTCATATAATATGATACATTTTATCCAGCTGAGCAGAGGGACTTCGTTGGTGTGGACCACTCTGGGAAGAGACTGCTCTTCATGGCCAATGAGGCTGATCTTGAGGATGGGCTCTTGATTAGGAAGTCCATCATGAAGAAGTAGGTCTGAGAAAGGGGGTTGATACCAAATATTTTGCTATTTGTGTGAAGTAATATCTGAACCAACTGTGAATTATGTCCAATCTTATGCTCATCTCAAGAGAATTCCCATTTTGAAACTGTCCTTTAGATAAATGTTTTCCACAGAACTTATTTTTTTATTAGTTTAAACAAATTCATTTTTACTTATCCTGTACTATATCTTCCTTGTTGGAGGTTCTCATTCCACCTAGTGTACATCTGTGTTTGGACCTTGACTGAAGCTAAATATGTTGTTTCCTCAGTTTGTAATCAAAGTGAGCTCTAAAGGGCTGTGCAGAGTGCTTCGAATTTTTGGTACAGCATGATATTCTTGGTTGGTTTTTGTTTCACAGCCCTAAAACGCATGTATGTGTGAGAGAAGGTGTTTTGGGAGCTCGTAAATACTTCACGGAGCCAAAGCCACTGTAAATTCTGGCCAACAAGAGAGGGGGCCAGAGCAGCTGCTCACATGCTTTCCTTCACATGGAAATCTTGAGCTATTCACGCATTCACATAAACATGTATGCATGCACACTCCATACAAATGTATGTACATATGCATGTATATCCCTAGAACGGAGAGAAAACTGTCGCACATTGTCACAGTTCTTACTGAAGCAAATTGATGTATAGATAAACATTTATGGAGTATAGTGAGGCTTGCAACTTTAAAGTCACTTGTGATCATTTGCACTCTCACATTTCACACAAACACACACAAAACAGATGTAAAAAATCTCTCAACATACAGTATTTATGACCTACGGTTGTAACGGCAGAAATCCTGTAGTTCTGTTTCTCCATATAACCCACCAGGAGGTAGATATACAAGATCTGACTGTTTTGAACATCAGTACTGTCCAGCCAAAAGTCACAACTCACTCATGAAGTATGGGTTCCATTTTATTGGATTTACCTCCAGAATTCGAGTGTGCACATAATCTATGCGAACCATTTGCAGCTACAGCTAGACTTGAGTATCCATTCTGCATCAGACATTTTCAGTTGACTGTTAAAATAGTAGAATGTCTCCTTTATTTTTCTATTGCCTTTGTAAAAGTATTTTTATTTAACCTGGGGAACGATATCTGGTGGCACCTCCTAAATCCCTTGCATGCATCTAGTCTAAACCATCTTCTTTAGCCTAATTTTACATCTTGATTAATGATTTTAGTCCTCTCTGCCCTGCTCTCTGCATCCCTCCATGCAACCATCCCTCCACCTCTTTACCTCATCCCATCTGCAGTTTTTTTTTTTTTTTTAACTTTTCCTTCTCTATGGTTTCCACATGTTTGAGGGGTGTTAGCTCCAAACAGTCTGCACATGTGAGTTTGTTTGACCTGGAAATTGCTTAAATGGAGTGAAAGGACTCCAGCAGAGCTTTGCCTGGTACATTACTGCTCCACCTGTCAGAACATCTTTTGGGCAGGCCAGCAGACAGGGCTGACTTTGTAAAGTAAGCTGAATAAAAAAAGTGAATAGCTGATATTGCTTGTAAAATTTAAATCAACCTTTTTCTCGTTACACAACAAGCTTGGTTATCAAACCTAAATCAAGTAAGGCACATTCCAACAAAAGAACGACATGTACTATCCATATTAAAAATGTCTTGCTCATGGTTAAGAGTAAGTGTAGTTTTTCCAGCAAAGATGGATGAAAGTCTCACAGGAAATTGGAATCGCAGAGATATTTTTTTCTAACTGTATCACAGTTGTCATCACAGATCTTATACATTACTTTTGCGTGTGTTTTACAGTAATAAGATAACATTGTTGGCTTTGCAAAATCTGACTGGGATCACATATATGCAAGACTACACCAGCTGTGTCATGTGCACGATGATCCTAAAGCAGAGGCTCAAAAACAATATGTCACACAGCTCCTAAAGAAACTGTATTTGTCTAATGTAGCATTAGGGGAATGATGAATCTTTGGAAGCAGTGGCTGAATGCTCTGAAAAGTCGTAAGCCCCTTAACCTTCTTGGCTCTGCTGTCAAGAGCTTTTTGGTTATATAGTGTATGCGTAATAATTCTGCTGTGTCTGACTCATTGTTTGCCGTGCGGCTTCAGCTGTTACTAAATAAGACAGCATGCTATATGCATTCATGTGTGTTTTAGAGATGGGACGTCTCTCTCCAACTGAAGACTTTAGTAGTCCTTGTGAGTCATTAATCCAAGAATTGAGTCATCCATGCCTCTAAAGGCTCTAAGTTCTTTTTTATTTTTTACTTGCTTGTCTGTGATGTTTCCTTGAGTTTAAGATTTTACGAAAAAAAAAAAAAAAACATTGAATAGAAATACATCACTAATTAATAATTGATGTGCAATTTTCAGGTGACTTTTTAAACCAAACATTGTATGTGAATTAGATTTTTTTTTTCCCCCAACCGGATAGTGAGGAGTTAAAATGTTTTTAAAGAAAAAAAAGAAGCTTCGAACAGAACCGGATTCAGGAAGGTCACTCATCTGCGTTGACCCGTTAGGAGCTGACCGGTCAAGAAAGAGGTCGACAAGCACCACGATACAGGGCCAGCAGTAACGGCTGAGAAAGACAGTACAAATGAAAAATGAATGAGAAAATAATGCCATGGTACACGGAGAAGAAAGAGAGTAGAGTGAAGAAAGGCACTTGTCTCCCATAGAACTCAGGGCTTATGGCAATGCAACTAAGTGATGTTTCAAGGCCACCTGAGCCATTCCTAATGGATAGCTTATCAAAAAGGAATGTTTTAAGCCTAATTGCCATATCTTAAAAGTGTAGGGGTTGTTTGTTCCCTGAACCGTCAATGGAAGCAGGCTCTGAATCGTATTCTACTTTTACAAACCATTAGAACCACAATCTGGAAATGATACTCTTTGATTGGAAAATACTACAGGATAACTTTGAAGTCTAACACGTGGATCACTGTCATCTGTCCTGGATAACTGGAGACGTGTGCAAAGTTAATTAAACTTAAATGTATGGAGCTCCATTTTTTACACTTGTGTATATATGAGGTTCCTTTAATTCTGATAATACATTTAATCCTCTGTAATACAGTTTTGTGATTGATCATATCAGATGCAGAACTGAGATCTGCTGTCACTCAGCAACACATGCCACCAAACGAAAAAGGGAAAATAACAACAACAACAAAAAAGAACCCATGACAGGCCAAAAGAAAGTCATTGGTCAAGTTAGCCTGTGCTGTTTCTTTGGTACGATGTCCTCCAAGTCCCGACAAGTTTTCACATAGATGAGACATTTTGGCCACAAACACGAATTATCATGCCCTACTAATCAAAGGCGCTGTCTCGTGCCCGCTCACAAGTGTCAAACGGCAAAGTGACATGCTGGGTGTTCCCATAAATTTCACTTTACACCTACTCTACACGCACAGAGACATACACCTGGGAAATATTGTATGAATAAATACATTTGACAAACACCCACAGAGCATGTCTGTGTGTGCACGAACATGTGTTTTTCTGCTTTTGAATGACGAACAGATGAATACACACTCGGTTTGATTTATGGCTTGCAGCATCTGGTTGTAAAATATGTGTGACCAAGCAGCAATCCTCCTGAGCTGCTCCAGTTATAAGCCGGTGGAGATGGTTGATGGAAGAAAAATGAGAGAGCTTCAAATTTGTAGTGAAGAGGGGTAGAGGTTAAGGAAGAGGCTACTTATTTTCCCCCAAACTACATGTAATTTACAATATGTTAATCATCATATCCATCTTTTTACCTTGAATGTTTATCTGTTTCTGGTCTGGTCTACTTTCTCCTGTATATCTTGTCTTGTATAATCTATTGTTTATAACTATTGCTATTGATGCCCAGGATTTTAGTGTTCATGCTAAAGTATCAGTCTATAAAGTAGAACCAATGAGTCAAATAAAAGAAGAAAAATTATAATAAGAAGTACATGCAATGTACTTGTTGATGTTATCAGCTGTAGTTTTGTCAAGAATACAATTTAATTAATAGGAAACTCTCTGAATGACTTGTTCTTTTTCCCGTTGGCTAGTAAAACCCACCTCTAGGAAAATTGTTTCACTGTTTAGCTAACCTTGGTGAGGAAAAAATAATCTGATCTCACTTCCTAACTCGTTTACTTAAAAAAAAGATTAAACTGTGAAAAGGATTGTTGGAATTGAACCTTTTTCTCTCTGTTTCTTCCCTTTACCTGCAGACATCCCAGGATGCACATCAAAACGGGGCTGGTGGACGCTCACCTCTACTGTTTGAAAAAGGCAGTGGTTGACTTTCTAGCAGAAAACAAGTGGGTTATTACTTTATTTACATGAACATTTTAAGAAATAATCCACTCACTTACCTATTACACTATTGTCTTGTTGTGCACGAGGCATTCACCAACATGTGCTTAGTCATGGATGTCAGTAAGTCACATCGACTTGAACTCATTTGCTGCTTAATCTGTAGCAAGTGTGAAGCACGGTTACATATGTAAGGCTTTGAAAGACGGTTAGCAGGGTATTCCAGAGAGGTGTTAATTTGTTTTACTATGTGCCGCTGACACAGGCTGTTAGGCCTTTAGCCTCTGAAGGGAAGCAGTATGACAGGGAGACTTTTGAGACCACATGGGGTCTATATTCCAATGTGCACCATGTCTCTGGTGACGACATAATGCTATCAGGAAAATAAAATATTTACGGAATATTCTTTGTGTGTTTACACTAACAGCAAAGTTCATTTTCCTACTTTTAGGTTCCCAATGTTTTGTAGTAAAATTTGGTATGAAGCATTAGCATTTTTAAAATAACAGAATTGGCTATCATATCTCCTAACTTTATGAAATATTATTAATTAAATGACATTTTGGGAAAGATGGTGAATCTTTGAAAAATGTTGAAAACCAAATTTAACTTTAAATTTGAGGACTAATTTGTGTAAACTGTGTGTTGGTTAGTTTTCAGGAGAGACATTGCTGAAAGAGCTTGTTTTCCCCTTGTTTTTCATTTTCTGCTTTTTCTTCTGAGCACATTTCCTTTAAGATGATAATGACTTCCTTTCTGAATATTTCAGTTTTGTGCAGAAATTTGGCACATGTTAAGTCATAGAGTGGTTATATTTGTTTTTACATAAACAAACGGTTCTCCCTACCAAACTAGTTTTAAAGCAAAGGCATCAACTACAAATAACCTCTACTCGAATCATCTCTCTTAGAAGATGACTCTTTTTTTTCCTTTCTCCGACTCCTTTCTAGAACTTTCTTTTCAGCGCTCCTCTCAGCCTCTTCACTCTCTTCTTGCTCAAGGACAGACATAGACAGAGTAACTGTTGTGTTTCTCCTGTTATTCAGATGGAAATTCTAATCTGCCTTTAAAAGAAAGTAAGAGAAGGAAAGTGGAGGGGTGGGGGCATGCGAGGTGGTGGCAATGAACACTGAGCACCGCACAGTGCAGTGAGGAACAAACAGATGATGATGTCTCCTGTTTTACTGAGGGAGGGGGGAAAAGAAAGAAGATGCCCCAACCATTATTTAGCATGGACTGGTTAAAAGCTCAACTTGAAAAGATCCTGTCTGAAAGCATGAATGTTATTCGATCAGAAATCAAGTTGAACTTAAAGTTGTCTTTAAAGTTTTGAAGGTCCCGGCTAAATACATGTATGAATCAGCGTTTGTTAATCATTAAAACACTTCTTTCCATCCTCTGTTCTTGTCTTAGGTCCATTTCATCGATTCGAGGAGAGTTGGTACCATATTTGGTGCGCAAGCAGCTTTCCAAAGCAACAAAAAGTCAAACAGCAAAAGGCGACTTAGAGGATCAGAGCCAGAAAAAGAATGATGGCGGCACAAACCATGGTCATTATTTGCACTGATACATCAGTTTCACACATGGAAATCATAAAAAAGACTTAACTTAAGTGACAGCAGTAGAACATATCTTAAATACATTTTGATTTTGTTGGACTTATTGACTATCACCTCCTTAATGACTAACAGGGATGCTGTTAATGTTAAACTGCACAAAATCCATATTTCCTTTGGTTTTACTCTCAGGTTCTTACTTCCTGTCTCTTCTTTCTGCTTTTAGAGCTCTTCATCTCATCGAGGGATGAATCTCTTCTCCAGCTGGCGCAGGAGCGCTCATGTTGGAATGACCACAAGGGTGATATGAGTGAGGCTTACCATGGAGGGAAGCTGCGCTGTTATGTTCACATCATGGACCAGGGTCTGTGCTACCGCGTGAACACGCTGGCTGCTTACATAGAGGCAAACAGACTGGTGAGTCAGATCAAACTGTATGGAATATGTCTGTTTCCCTGTTTGAATACGGATGTTGTTTTCTGTTGTGCTGAACAATGTGGGCAAAAAACGAAGTCTGAAATGTTTTTTTCCCCATCTAATTTGATGTTCATTTGAAACTATTTCAATTTGTTTGTTTGTTTTAAAATACAAACTGCAAAAGAAAACTGAATTGATACTCTACAAACCTGCCACGTACCAATTTTGAAAACGTGCACGAAACCTTGCACATATTTAATGTGCTACCTGTTTTTGCTCCGGACTCAATCATTAAGCATCAGCATTGGATGATAACCGGAGGGGAGAATGAAGACTGCTCCTGTCCTTCTTAACCGTATATTGTCCACACAACCTCCACACAGTGCAGTGTTTCTACCTGCCAGTCCATCTCCCCTCTAAGTACCCAACTATCACTCCATTTTCTAGAGCAAACATAAGGGTTGTTAAAGAAGCCCTTTGTGTTTCATATGAAGTCCTGCAACATACCTGTTATTGACACAAATTTGAATAACTTTTTCCAATCTTTCTGTGGAGAGTAAATCCTGGAGAAATGCTGAAAAGGGACTATACATGCTGTACTAAGCATTTCACTGGCAAAGGTTCATTCACCAGCCCTTGTTGTCAGCTTTTAATTCTGTTTGCTACGGTCAGTCCTTTTCTTACAGGTAGCTCAGTCTAAACTTTTTAAGTAGTAGTCGAACTAAAATCATTCTGACTAAGATTTGCATTGGTGTAGGTGTCTGTTTTAAGGACCCTTGTTAAACATTTGTCACTGTTCTTTATTTTCATGACAAGGCGCCAAAGTTGTTTGAGGAGCCAGCCGTCCACCCGTCTGCTGTTATTGCTGAAAAATGTCAGGTAAGGGCAACTCATATCAGGATAATTTTGGCATCTTTACAAATTCCATCTTAAACAATTACCCATCAGGGAGCGGTTGTTTTCTGAGTGTCAGAGTTCCACTAGTAGCATTATCATTTGCATCCTGCCTTTCAGATGGGATCAGACAGCATCATCGGAGCTCTCTGCCAAGTGGCAGATAAGACTTCCATCAAAAGATCCACCATTGGAAACTCTACAACCATTAAAGAAAAGGTGAAAGTTACCAACTCCATCATCATGCATGGAGTTACCATCGAAGAAGGGTGAGAACACACACGTGATCGTCTAATAAAAACAAGTACTTTCAACTACTAAAGTCCCGAGCCAAAATATAGATACCTTCTTCTTATATTGATGAAAACAGTGAAAAAGATAGATATGTCTTTTTATTGCCAGAGAAAAAACTTTTTTTCTCATTTTAAAACTTTAACAAGACTTTAGATTTCACTTTACTGTTTAATTTATGTGCTTATTCCCAACTGTCAAGGTTTTTTTTTCTGTGTTTTACTTTTTTTTATTTACCATAAATTAGTTGTTTGTCTTGTTCCTCATTCAGTGCACAGCTTTTCATTTCATTTTCTAGATGTTATAATGCTATTTCTGTGTGTTTGTGTCTGATGTGTGAGTCTGATGATAGGAGGTGTTGCTGGTTTTGTTTTCTTTGCTCCCCGAGGTCAAATAGGGAACGCTGTATTAACAATGCGTCTATTGGTGTGCAACCAGCCAGAGACCAGTTCCAAACAAACACAGAACCTCCGAAGCTAAACAAAACATCCCTATATTTCAGTCACCTCCAATTTTACACACCTATACACATTTTCTTACTGGCTGTAGAAATTGTGGAATACCATTGTGGTCCGAAGGGTGTTCAGCAGATGAGTGTGGGAAAATCATCTTGGAAAATTTGCAGGAGGGTGATCAGTTGATGGTTTTGTTGAGCCCACGTTACACTAGCTGCCTTTTTATCTCCTCTGGACATTAAACCAAGCCTGAACAGCAGTGCAGCACAGAAACTCACCTTTACAAGCTGTTACACAGCAAAAAAAGGAAAAAACGTCCCATTGCTTCAAAGAGGGGTTGACCAGATGCGGTAGGCACTGTAGAATTAGCATGTTGATTGATCTGTTCACTGTCTTAGCCAGCAGGCTAAGTGGAAACAGGCTCATCGTGGCCTCAAGTCTAGATTATAATGCACTCATACAGGGGCTCCTTTTCTTTTATCTCAATTTCTTACTCCTCCCTCTCTTTTCTCTCCATCGAGGCCTCAGCACCATCTCCCTCTTTTTCTGTCTCTGGCCATCTCTTTTTAAGCCTTTCAGGGACCCCAGCCAGCTAGCATGGGGACCCTCATCATGCCCATGTAGGTGCACGCACAAAGGCATGAAAGAATGAGAAAGACGAGAGAAGGGAAGAAAGGAGCGAAGAGAACGCAGGCTAGCACACAAGAAAGAAATTGCAATTCTTTCTTTTGCTCAAAAGAGGACATAAGAAGGAAGGAGAAAGAAGGAAAGAAAGAGCCAGTATGAGGGGATTAGCAGACCCCAGCCATGTCGCAGAAACCCCTCGCATTTCTGGTTTCTTTGTTTGAAGCTGACCAGAGCTTGTTGACAAAGCTCTGCGTGTTTGGGAAGGGGGATAGTAGGGGTCAACTTTATAGGGGGGGTTGGCACAGGAGGTGGGGGTTGATGTGTGTGTGTGTTTGTGTGATCGAGAGGGAGGGTGGTGGGGTGGGGGGTCATGACAAGGAGGAGCCCTGGTGTTAGTAATTAGTGGTGTTTCAGCTTCTAAGCTTCTTTGGTGGTCTCCCCTTCTCTCTAATGTTACAAAACTCTGAATCTTGTAATCTCCCATCACCAACTACCACCGCCACCTCCTAGGTAGTCCTTTAAATGCACACACACACATGTTTTCCCCCCTTCACTCCAGGCCTAACCACCTGAATAGAATGGGCCAATACAAACCGACCTGTGTGTGAGGTATGGAGGGCCAAGGGTGTGTGCGTCACTGCCTGGGCAAGACCAATCCCAACTCTCCACTGGGCTCACCAGGCTGCTGAAACACACTCACAGACGCGCGTTTTCTGCCCTACACACACACGCATCCGTCACGATTTGTCGACACCGGACACACAAGACCGTCTGTGTGTCTATCCAGGAATTTTATGGTGATGGTTTGGCTTAATGTGAGCGTGCAGGGCGGGTTGGCACTGTCACCTCAGGTGGGACGGCAGCACGCGGCCAACAAGGTCTCAACACACAGAAGCGCACACAACGCCGGCCGCTGTTATTACCCAATATATATGCTAATGTCACGTCATTAAATTCAGTTGATTAGTCATTTCAGCGTTTTCAGAGCAGGTGTGAGGATCCTTGATGTGGCGCCCTGTTTGCTTTACAAGTTGCCAGCTGTGGAAAGTGGGGGATAAATGTTCTCTGTAATGTGTACATGGCGGTGTGTTTTCTTGTGTTCGCAATGACCAAGGACTCGAGTTTTTTTTTTCAGACTCACTGACTCTTGCTTAAGCCAAAGAAGAGTTAATCTTGAATGCCTTTAACTTTATTACTGTCATGTCGCTGCATATATCTGGATAAAATGTATAATTCAACACGTCCCCACCACTTTTTTGTTTTTATTTATTTATTTTTTACCACTGAAGTACAGTGATGTGCAGGGTCTACCAAACATTAGAATGTACTCTGTACTCAGTCCAAGGTGACCAATCATGGGCCATGCAGAACCAAAGTGTGGACATAGTTTTTTTTTTTTTTCCTACCAAGCGCCTCTGCATCTGGTTCCACTTTTCTCCTCTTTACCTGAAGGAGTGCTAATCTGTCCATGTTAACTCTCATTGGTGCAGAGGCCACCACCTCCTAAATGTAGACTTATAGTATCCAGTGGAAGCATGAACGTAATAACATGTACATTTTTTTGTGTGTTTTTCAGATGTAACATCCAGGGCAGTGTAATCTGCAGTAATGCAGTGATTGGCAGAGGAGCTGACCTCAAATACTGTCTGGTGGGTAATGGACAGCGGATCGAACCTGAAGGTAAAACGCAAAATGGGCTCTGAGTGTTTCATTTTTACCTTAAACTTTGGCGTGTAGCGTGTTTGACTCGCTGCTCATTGTTTTCTGCTGTGAATGAACAAACAGTGCAGTGTTTTGTTTCCAAAGTGGGACCTGAGCAACCAGTAGAAAGAAATATTGGATGTCGCAGAATTGTCTGTCTTCACTGGTTTTCCTGATTGACTAAAAACATGCATTATAGGTACAAAATGATTCTACATGATGTGTCAGGTTTTCTTTCATCTCATCAGTTCTAATAAAACTACCTTTCTCATTATTCCACATAACACAAAAGGTAACATTTGCTTTTGCCTTGGGAAATAAGATCAGGCATATCAAGTTTATCGCCTGAATTTGTCTTCAGAGGTGTTATTGTTCATAAGTTCATTAGCATATATTATTCATTAGTGTTTGTGTAGAAAGTTAGATTTAAAAAGTCCATCATCAAGTATTCATGGTGTTAATGTATGTGTGTGATATCTGTTCATAAGTGGCAAATGCTGAAATCAACTTGGAGAGTTTATTCTGTCTGAAGTCTGATTTGTCCGAATTTTTTTTTTCTTATTTCCTTAATCCTCTTGTCCCCAAACTTAGTTGCATTTGTGGGTGTGTGTGTGTGTGTGTATGCACGCACACGCGGCTACATTGATGGAGAGGTTAGAGAGCAGGGCCAGAACAGGACCACCCGGAATTCAACAGCAGCGACCTGCAGCCACATCCACACACACACACACACACACACACACACACACACTCGTAACAGAGAAGGAGCGAGCTCAGCTACCAGACTGAGCAGCCTAATTGCGTGAACAACAGGGTGCTCTAAGTAACAGCAGTCTGAATTTGAGCTAAAATCTCAGATCGTTCATGAAATGAAACAGTTGAATCACTTTTGGTTTAATCACTCTTACATCTCAGACCACTTGTACTGTTTTCCTATTTTTTCCCCATTTTCATTTCATCACCTCGTAAAAACATACAATATAAAAACAGTCGACTGTATAAAGAAAACATTTAAGACATCCTATGAAACTAAAAGAAAATCTCTTTTCCTGCAGTGTCTCTCCACTCCTCCCGAGCTCAGATTTGAAAAAATATAATATACTTGACAATAAAGGGAAACTTTCTCTCTTTTATTTTCATTATGATCTGTGAGTGACCACAAGGCTGCCTGTTGTTATCCATCCAGCTTTCTGACTGCAGGCTGCTGAAGACATTACACATCAACTCTGCGGCTGAGGCTGTTTGCAGACCACCCTGACAGCCTGACACACACACACACTGGAGTGCACTAGTGCATCAGGTGTTTATGTTTAAAAGATACATCTTTTCGCCTGTGCTTGAGGAAATACCTTCCTGAACTCAAACAATAGCCATAAAGAGTCAGAAAATATCATCACAGGGGAGTTTGTCTATGATACCATAATGTGTGACCCAAAATCTTCTTAATTAAAAAAATGAACACATTTAAAAAATGTACACACACACTTAAAGACACATTTTTATTAGCAAGAGCAAAAATGTTTTAATTAAGACGTTAAATTGTATAAGGGGACAGGCATCACATTTTAAATTTCTCTCAAATGCAGCCTGAAAAAATACAATATTCTTTTGTTCAGCTCTATACACCCAGTTAACATGAGTGTTCCCTGCCCCACCAAAATACTTAGATGAATAAATCTTCTTATTTGACTGACTCCATACAACCACTGGTCTGTGATCACAAACTCTTTTAGAAAAACATGCTGTTCTCATACGTCAGCATTCCATCCTCCTTCTTCACTAAGTGTTCCTATCAAAGAAAGAATATATTCTTGTGTTATCTTAATACATCTTCACAGTTCATTCATTTCTGATATATCATCAGGCCCGAGCAGAATAACCTGCCCCTCCCTTTCTCTCAGGTCTCCTCCAGTCTCTTCACTCTCCTGCTGTCCTAAGCTCCATTTGTCCTTCTCTCCATTCAGTGGTGGATAAGCTCATTCTGAGCTCGAGATTCCTTCACACTAAAACTTGTGTGTGTGTGGATGGAACATTGCTCTCTGCCTCCGTTTGCTTTGGATCAGAACCTGTGCTCAGAGTCAGAGGGACAGGCAGTCCAATGAGTTGTAGCCCTGCTAAGCTTGCTTTTGGTTCGAGGGAGATGGTGAAAAAAGTCGAGCTGAATTTTTTCTGTCGGGTTTTTTCTTTTGGAAGTTCAGTTTATCATCTTAGGACACGGGCATCAGACCATTTTATTCATAACAATTACGAGATGATCTCAAAACTTCAAATATTTTAGAAACTCTTCAATGGGTTTGGGATGCTTCTATCAGATTCAACTCTGTTTACCTTCGACATAAACTGACTTGCATTATTTCTGCCTTACATTTGAAAATATGTGTTTCCTCTTCAGTTGAGCGGACAAATGAAGTTATCGTCGGAACCGACCAACTTATGGAGATCTAGCTACTTACAAAGAAAGCAAGACACCGCCTCATGAACTGACTCGAGCAGCAAAACCCAGCGAGCATCTTCAGCTGACAGATCATTCAGAAACCTGGACACTGCTTAAATATTCACACTGTTTTTTTGTTTTTTTTTTGCCCAAATAAAGACGGATTGTCTTTAACTCATAATGCGGCATATTGGTGTTTTTGTTTCCATCTTTTAATTACGTTCACATACTGATGAGACAAAGTGGTGTGTTTTGACAGGTACCTGTCAAATCTTAGTAATCGTGTCACCACACTGAGTATTATCAGATCATTACCGTCTCCTAATAGCAGTGTTCTCCGCTCAGGTCATGCAGTCTCAAAGGGAGGAGCATGAGATCACACGTTTGAATATCCGTAGGTGTTTGAACACGCACGCTGTGCAGCTGTGTGGACCAGAGAAGGAGAGAATAAGCAGTGGGAGGGGTGACCACAATGGCGTGGGGGTTAAGTTTATTTGTACACAAAAATGGTGTATGTGTAGGCTCTGGACCACCCAGCTCGATTCTGTATCAGTTAACAGCAACACCCCACCCTCACACGCACACACTCATGAACACAGCAGAAGAGGAAACTGAGTCGTGCCTGATGCTTTTCTTTCTTCCCCCCCCCTCTCATATTCCCCCTTCAGCTCCCTTTTGCTGTCAAGATTTATTGCATTCCATCAGTGGAATTTTTCCTTAAATTACAGGTTTGAAGTTTCATAGTCATGAAGGAAGGAGATGAGGACAGTGATGTCTGTGGAGATGCTTTATGTGTAGGTTTGTGATTTACTGTCCTCCATTTCCTTTCTTTGTGTGGCCTGTTTTTAGTCATTCAGCATCTCTTTTGGCCTGACTATATGAAGCATTTGTAGATCATGGTGCGTTATCCTTCTGATGGTTTAACTATCTCACTGTCTGACTCTGTACGGCTGTTGTTTCTTAATATGTAGAGTATATTTATTATACACGTATTCATTTATTTATTGAAAAATGGCGGGTATGGAATGAAATACAAAACCAAACTAATGTTGTCGCTCACTTGGACTATTGAGTACAGCTTAATTAAGACCTTTTCAGGTAAAACGGGGTTCATTGCACATATTGGATCATTTTAGTGATTTCAAGCTGATGCCATCAGGTTAGCTTTTCTTTTAAAAGGGAATCTCACTGGTTTCACACATGTAGTCTATTTAACATGACTTGGTGACTAACCTAATGATGGTAACGATGTCAACAAGATGAGCAGAACCATTAAGAAAAGGACATATAGGAGCTGTTCATGTCCCAGAAAACGTAGGAAAACCAATTCAAAACCTCATCAACAAAATTAACTTTGATATAATGGTATCGAAAAAAGAAAGAAACATATGGTGAAGACATTTAGCTTTTTCAGTGTTGTTTGGCAGGTGACCCTTAAAAAATGCTCATTTTGCCATAATCAAAACAGCCCACAGTTTAGTTCGTTGCTACAAAATTATACAAATCAAGGAAACATACTTCCAATTTCTTGGTTTCCTAACAAGACTGCCCCCATTGTGAGTTTGAAAGAAACTGTATGCTTGATTTGGTCTTTTTGACCCCAACACAGAACTGTCCCACGCTGTGTTGACTGTCATAGCGGCCTTAACCCACTGACTGAAACATTTGATGGTTCAGTGATTTTCCATGGCCCTTGTTTTACCTGTGGTCAACTGCCATCACATGGTCAGTATTCATTGCTACACATCCTTTTTTTTTCTCTCATTAAGAGTTTTAGAAAATAGAAAAGTGATTAATTACTTCCCTTTTTAGGATTATATTTCTTCTTTTGGGTTGTGTTCTCTCACCACCTGAAACATTTCATTCACATCAAATACTCACGAATTGCAATGGGAGGGAATTTTGAAACTCGTAGACCAAAAACAACAGAAAAATCTTTCTTTTTTTCTTCTTTTTTTTTTTTTTACCTGACAAATAAAGGCATAAAAGCAACAGTTAAGATTTGTTTGTCCGTGCTTTGTCTTTTGCTTTGGCCCTTTTTTAAAGCAATATTCCTCTGACCTCTCTCTTTAAGCACATGAGGAGATCTGTCTGCTGGGTGTGTTTCGGTAGAAGTTTGTATATTTGTACAAAGACCACAGAGTCTCTTCAACGTACCGCCAACGTGGCTGCACCCGCCTTCAAGCCCCACATGGGTCTGTTTGTGGATGTGTGTGTGTGCGTGTGTGTGGCGTGCAGATCACCTCTATTTGTGACAATTGTTAGTACTCTGTCATTCAGAGTCATTGACAACTTTTAACATTTGTGCACAGATGTTTATACAAACGTGCTCGTTCGCAGATGGCGTTAGGACGTAGATCAAATGTCTGGTGGCCCTCGGGCCCTGGGCCTGGTGGGAATTAAAGAAATTCATATAATCATGCATCCCAAACAAACTGGTGGGGCTCCAGTGAGAAAAGAAATGATGTGTAAAATAAAAACATTTTCATCCACAGATTGTCCAGGGATTCATTTGTGGTTGTACATTTTGTTGGCGGCATAAGTCTGAAATATAAACCTCTGGTTTCACTCGCCCATAGTAAGTTTTTTTTTTGTGTGTGTGCGTGTGTGGTGTGTTTGTGCATGAATGTCATCAGTAAATGTGCACTTTTTTTGTGAAAGCTTGCAGAGGGAATCATGGAGATATTGATGAAATGTAGGTTGTCATTGTTCTGGGCAATGACTCAGGGTTTGGGATGATTCAAGTGGTTGTCATCAGTAGATGGTGCTAGTCGAGATAAATGTATTACATTACACTTCCAGATATGTTTAAGTGACACTATCTCGTGTTTCACATGTGCCTCAAAACCACAGATTTACATAATCAAATGCAGCTTGTTGGTTGGCAGTTCAAAGAAGAGGTTCATCCAAATCTGGTTAAAGTCTATTTCCTTATCATATGCTGTTAATGGTGAGAAATGCAGTTTTAGATTCAAGGAATTACTACCTAGAAGTTACTCGTGACAGTCCAAATGTACTGCACGACTAGCAATTGCTTGTATTGGAACTCATTTATATGGATGTTGTGATGAAAGCCGTCCAAAGTAAAGTCTGCTGACAAAGTTTGATAACGCTGGGAGAGAGGAATTTGATCATCCCATTTTTCAGATTTATGAAGTGAGACGGGGAATGAGGATTAACTATTTGACTCATTTAGAGGTTAAAAAAAAGGGCAATGACAGACCACACTGTGGCCAGTGATTCTTTTTCCCTTTTTTCTTATTTGGAAAAAAAAACAAACCGCAGAAGAATATTTTTTGCGCTGGCTATAGTTAGACATCCATAAATTTCCCACCGAGATCATATGCTGTAACTGCGTATGATATTGTGAGCAAGGCGTCCCCTTCTCATGAGATATCACCTTTGAGCATGTGAACATGTGAACAACTTTTTTTTCGTGGAAAATAGGGATCAAGCACAGAAATTAGAGTAAAAGTCTTTTTAAAGCGAGCTGAATAAGGTAAGAAGAGGACAGCTGAGCACTGTGACCCATATTTCTTTCTGAGAGAGCCCTCTCTTAGTATATGAGTCCAGTACTACTGTACCCAAATGTAGGCAAATGTAGGATAAGGATTCATGGTGTGAGATGGTTGGACTGGATGGCTGGATGGATGCATATGTCTACAAATATGTAATACACAGACATATGCAGATACTGAGAGAGGTGGGGTGGAGTTTGAGCTCTGGGTCGGGGGTGGGGGGGGGGGGGGGGGGGGGGGGGGGGGGGGGGTTGCCTGAGTAGATGGGTGGCTTCATTGCTTGAGGGCTGATTGTGGGTGAGCAAAAGACACACACACACAGAGCAAGCAGGCCACCCAAGTGGCAGTCAGTCAGAAACCTGCGTGTTTGCTGCTGACCCCTACACATTAGCACAACACTTCCTCAATTTGTCTTCTGTGTTCTCCGACCACAAATGAATTTCCTCCCTCCCTCTTTTTTTTTTTTTTTACTTTACCTTTTCGAGATGCTCACATCCCACCCACCACCGCCACCATCAGCAAATACAAGCGCATGTGCACCGAAAACATCACATCCCAAACCCCAACATATGAACACATGCACGAAAACCTCTACAGGTTTTTCTCACTTTTGTTTTTTGGCCAAGAAAGCGTGTTGTAAAGCGTGTTGTAAACGTTCCAGGTATTTTTCACCATTTGTCTATAAAACCGCTCAAAATCCCTTTTTAATGTTTCATTTTACAACTCAGCTACTTTCAAATTAGCCTAAAATACCTGAAACCTCTCTGACATCTGAAGCCAGCAGTTTGTGCTGTTGGTATTCAGGTAATTATTACCAAAAAAAAAAAAATCTTGAGTGAATCCTATGGTCATTCATTGAGTCATGAAAGCATTTAGATGTAAGATATTCTGATATTTCATTTGACATGTATATATTTATATGTGTGTGTGTGTGTGTGGGTGGGTGGGTTTGTGTGTGTGTGTGTGTGTGTGTGTGCGTGCGGTCCCTCTGACTGCTCTGACTGTCTTTTAAAGGCACAGGTCTAAGTTTGCATTACCACCTGCTAGTTGCATTTGACAATACCTCTGTTACAACCACACAAACAAAGACTTAAAGAAAAGTGTGTTTCTCTTTCTTTCTCTGTGTTCTGTGTGTTTTGCTCCAGAAAGGCAACCATTCATTACGATGACAAAGGGATAAAGAAATGCATTATCATAATTAATCTTGTGTGAGACTGTGGGTGGCAGCTTCCACTCTGCTCTGACTCTGACAGAGGTGTTCAATGCAAAAAGCCTCCCACTGTCACTGAGCAACTATTTGCTTTACTAGTAATATGTGGGAAATTGCTAAATTACAAAATCTCAAAAGAAGTTACCCAAAAAGAGTGGGGAAAAAATGAGTCAAATATTAGTTGTGAAATATTATTTTTGTTTGCTGTTTGTCGTCCCATCTTGCCATCTCCATATACATATATGTATATATATATGTGTGTGTGTGAATTAGGTATGGGTTCTAAGACCTATTTAAGAATATTGTTCACTCTAGCTTTTATGCTGGCTATGGGATTGTTGAGCTTCCTTAGAGAAGAGGAGAAGAAAACCAGCCATGAGCAATCTCTCAACCTCTGTGTTGAAAAATAAACACTTTTGGGGCCTGGACACCCTGCAACCAGGCTCCTATGAGATGGCCGGATGCCAGACTGGTTCCATAGATCTGCTTATAGCACATACAGAATCCTGGACAGACAGCAGGCCATGCATGGATGAACGGCTGATTGGATAGAGTCACTGGGGGAGATGAAATGGAGGAATGGAAATGGGGGAGGGCGACGGGAGAGCAGGATGGCACAACCAGATGAGAGAGAAAGAGAGAAGGTGCTGGGACTCCAAAAAAATCTGATCCAGGCTGGAGACGGAGATAAAAACGGGAAAGATGGTGCAGAGGGTTGGTGGAAACCGGGAAGTGAGGAGAGGAAAACATTTGGGACAAAGGGTATGGAGAGGTGAAGGAGGGAGCAGGGGTTTGTGTTTGGAGGCTGGGGGTGGTGTGATGGCAGATATCTGTTGCGCGCATGGTCATCTCAGATGGTTTATTTATCCAAGGCCTCCAGACTCGGTCCTGGACCTCCCTGAGTTTGTTAGACTTGAAGGGGCCCCCTACCACACAACCCAATTCCACACATTCCACATTAGCTCCCACTTCCAGCTGTCTGTTTCCTTCCACCACCTAACCCGACCCAACCCAGTTCGGGAGAACCAGGTCCAGCGGAGGAACAGTCCCCTCTGGGCCTCTGTGGATCCGAGAGTAGGGGATGGGAGATGGATGGATGGATCAGTCAATGAACTTATAGCTTTTGGTGATGAGGAGGTCTACGAATAATGAACAACGATGTTGTGCTATCATAAAGCTGAGAATAACGCTGATGGTGCAAATGATGTTTTTGTCTTCTTATTCCTTTTATATGCGTAAAATTTCAAAATAGTACCACCAGTACTAAATGCATAAGAGTAATCATGTGTTTCTTCACTAAAAATTGTGGGGTGTTGTTTCACAGAGGATGATAATACTTACTTCACTGACTTTGGTCATCAAGGAAAGGTTTTAAATATATCCTGTGGAGACACATCTCTCATGGAGGACACTTTACTGTGAACTTTAAGAAGTTTTTTTATAGGTTTTTCCATTTTAAGTAAATATTTTACCACAAAATTGTAACACTAACTTTAGCCAGATTATTGTAACATATATTTTTATTAACATACATTTTTGCAACTTATGAAATGTCATGTTGGTGTTGGACCTAATTATTTTATTTTAATTGCGACTGTAAAGGAAATCCTATGAAAAGTAGAAATGACAACTATATATTTTAAGCGATGTCCATCTTTTATGTGTGTATTTATCCTGTGCCATTTCTAGTAGAATAAACAAAAAGCAAAAAATGTAATGATAAATCAGTCGGACAAATCATGTTCATCACGTTGACTAATGAGTCGTCAATTTATTATATACTTAATGATGTTTTTTGGGGGGGAATAAATGTATTAATGCCATTAAGCCTTACATGACAATAACAAAATCACACAAAAGCTCATCTTTGTCAAAAACATTAAAATCTCTTATCTTCATACTACACTTAAAAAAGACATTTGCCAATAAGGAATAAGGAATCAAATTAGGAATTCATAAAATGACTTAATAAAGAATAGGATGCACAATCCACCTGGTCAAAATTTTAAAGGCCAACGGTAAAGATTCTTGCATAGACACTGTATATTATAGAGTAAAGAAACAATACATTGTTTTATTATTTTGATTAAAGAATAGTCTTTCTTTATCATGTAATACTGAAGAAAAAGACAAATCAGTATGATTTTTCCTTGCTTTTCCCCATATGATGAACCACATGTCAACTATGAGCCCTGCCCCCCCCCCCCCATCACACGAAATGACAACAGTTCCTGTTCTTTCCTGTCCAGGTGTCGTGTAAACAGTGTTGATGGATCTAACAGCTCAACAGCAAACTGTGGCACTCATCCTCCCAACGCCTTTATCACCAGCGCAAACTGAACAAGCACCGTCACGTAGGTTCAAATTGCTTTACTCAGGGTTTTCAATTGTTTTACAGTCACCCAAAGGGTCTCAAATTAACACCGGCCCACTGACAAATGCTGCAGACAGCAGCACAGGTCGGTGTTTAGGCTGGGAGGGGCTAATCTATTCTGATCTAGGGATTGTTCTAAACCTCCATACAGATACCAGTGGTGCCATGCATGGGGGCTTACATTAGTAAAATAAGAATTATACAATAAATCTGGATAGAGACCCTTCCTTTTTTCTTTCTTTCTTTCTTTCTTTCTTTCTTTCTTTCTTTCTTTCTTTCTTTCTTTCTTTCTTTCTTTCTTTTCTTCACCATCAGTCTGATGCCGAAAGGTGAAGTACTTTCTGAACCCATGAAATCATGCATGGCAAAACATGGGAACTTTCCAAAAAGCTCCCAGAGATAAGGCCGTCACACCGGACCAGGCAGTGCCAAGGTGTTGACAAAAATGACGCATACATACAAAATTTTCCATCTGACCCACGCTGAACTTTTTTTACTTTACACGACTGAATGATTAAATGTTCCAGGGTGAAAGAGAGCTAATCAGGCCACTTTTGATGTCAAGTTGCAGCTGCTGATGCAAAGAACTTCCTCTTCTTCTTCTTCTCAGCTGTCTGTAACAAACTGCTATCACAGCAAAGACTCCAGGCTGGGTAAAAAAAAAAAGTCTGCTTTGGATGTTCTGCAACAAATGTGAGGCTCAAAAGCCTTCAAAACACGAGATGGCTTGAAGCGATATGAAAAGTGTTGAGAGATCTGTAATTCCCACATTTCAAAAAAGGAGGGGGTAAAAAAAAAAAAAACTCTTGTTTACATTCCTAGCTAGAAAAGCTGAATTAACTTTGCTTCTTTCTCTGGGCTGGCCTGTGCTGATGAAACCGAGGAGCTGCAAAAAAAAAAAATGTTTTGCGTGCATGCTCTATGCTGCTACATCAATAGATGGCATGTGCGATTGCTTGTGCAAAACTGGAGGGGAACAGCCTAATGTTCAGAGAGCAAGCAAAAAGTCGTGCAGGCGGCATAAGCAGCGTGCGCGCGCGCTTGCGCTCGAGTGTGTGTGCGTGTGTGTGTGTGCGCGAGCGTGCAGAGTTTATTGAAAGAGTTCCTCTCTCCCTCCTCCTCCCCTCTTCCTCCCCCCCCCCCCCCCCCCCCCCCCCCCCTCCAGCCCAGGCAGCGGCAGCCTGGGTGGTCCCCCTCTCTCTCCACTTTGGTGAGCTGTTGCTTAGCAGCTAATAATAGGCGATGTTTGCAAAGTAATTTGCCTCTTCCTTGGCCAATGGGAGCCGGAGCACTTTTCCATCAAACCTCCCTTTTCAGGATTCGCCGAGAGGCGAACTTCTCCAAATGTTACCGCTACGGGATCGCAGTTAGACTTGACACGGACGGCTCAGACATAAGCTACCACCACCACCACCACTACTACAACTACTACTACTACTACTACTACTACTACAAACCCCTCTCTGAGACGCAGTTTCACAAACTCTCGGGACGAATGAAGACTGGGAAAAGTAAACGGATTTCGGCGCATAATGTTGGGATGGAGTTTCGAGACTCGTTTGGCTCCGTGGAAGAGTAGAGACCCGCTTTCGCTGCCGGTGGTGCCGGATGCGCTCCGCTTGTATGTTGGATTATTGTCGCTTTTCTTTTTTAATCTGAACTCGCACCCACTCAGCGTCGCGCCGCTCCTTTGCCCGTTCGTACTCTTTGGACTATGGCCTCGGATCACGGGGTCCCAGTGTTTGGAGATTTACCCCCGAGTTATACGCGCTCCCAGCCGCCCGCCAACCCGGACCTGCTCCGGAGACCCAGCTACTGCCACGCCGCTTTCGCACTTAAACAGATCTCAAAGGTGATTCAGCGCTCACTGCATATTCACTGGATTTACTAGAAATATAAATAAGGCAGTGTTCATTCAGTCAGCAAACGTGAATGAAAAGTTATCAGATGCAGCTTCTTTTTTTTTCTTTTTTTTTTCTTAAAGGCGTTATCTTGTTGGGATTTTAGGGGGGAACAGACGTAGAGACAGCAGGTTTAAACCGGGGGTTCGGGGATCACACGAGCTCCCCCAGGGAGACGACAGCCAACCCAGGATTAGAGCAGTTTATGTGTGTAAAATTGAAAGGAAACCGTAGAAACTATCACCATATGCGTATATCGACGACCCGAAACTGTGTGCAAGCAGAATCTGAGCTTGCATGACATTTCGGGAACCCTGTGGAATAACGTGATAACAGATGGCTGTGTTAACTCTGCTGTTTGTTTGAATGGACATCGGCTTCCTATTGACTTGGGTTTCTGAGGGGAGTTAGTGGAGGTCTTGTTCTCCTATTTCCACTCGTGCTGTGCGTGTTTTTTGGCTTTGTTCAGCCAGCGGAGAGCGCACTGGCCCGGGGTCTGTTTGGAAATGTGGTGGGTCCTGTAAAGGAATTCACTGATTGAGTTTGATCTGACAAAGCATCTTTGGACCGCCCGGATGCTTGGACGTGTTTCAGCACTGCTGAGAGAAACCACAACACCAGAGCAATGTCCTCCACAGCAGTGACATTTGTAGCTGGGGGAGATTTGGAGAGCTTCATTTCAAATTACAGAAGGAGAGTGTTGAAAGCAGATAGAACAGGCTGATATCCACAAGCTTTAACTCCTTTTGTACACTTCCATCTGTGTGTCGACCATTAGTTTACACTTTTGTGTCAAAAGACAGAGCTGGAAAAAGGAGAGTTTGCTCTCCTTATTCCCTCAAAACAGACTTTACTGTGTCTGATATATACTGGCACCTCTCCCGTCAAAGTTTCTCTCTAAATGAGAACTATGACTTTTTGCTGTCGGTGTAACAACAGCTGTCTTTAACTTATGAACTTTTCTAAACTATGGTGATTGACTGACTTCGTATTTGTATTTGTCGTTGTAAATGATACCTTTATAAGCCGATTATTGTCACAACTGTGCCTTTTCAAATGAAAATGTGGGTTATCACTGCTGATCCTGCGTGCAAAAGATCAGGTGATGAACTTTTGGCTCTAACACATCTGAGCACACACAAGATCAGACAGCGTGTGTATCACATTTGAGTTTGGCTCAATAGCAAGATCTAACTTTATTTGCAGTATTACAAATGTAAATGTTTTTAAGGGACTACCACTGAGTACAGGCATATAGAAATAGAGGTTTTGGAACCTGCCTTTTGCTCAGTTCAGCATTGTTTTTGTGTCATAATTTAACAATCATGTGCTTTTCTCACCCACCCTCCTACTTGAAATCCAGGGGAAGGCGGTTGGTCAGAAAGCTCCTCTGTGGATCCGGGCGAGGTTCCAGGCCTTCCTGTTCTCTCTGGGTTGTCACATCCAGAGGCACTGTGGGAAGGTCCTCTTTATTGGACTCTTAGTATTCGGGGCTCTGTCTGTGGGACTCCGAGTCGCAGCCATCGAAACAAACATTGAGCAGCTATGGGTGGAAGGTGAGTTTCAAATACCCCTTATTTTACGCCGCATGCATCCGTGTCAACTGCTCCATTTCAGAAAAGCTTTTAAGTTTACACTTTCATTTCTCCATCTCTGCCTTCATTTTGTGCGCTCACTGTCAGTCTGGTCCTGGTGTACGGACCTCTTAAGTTCCGAATGCTGGGTTAGTGGTGGCGGCTCTTTTTTGAATGACAATAGGGACTGGTGGCAGAATGCAGTGCGGTCATGTTAGTGTCATCTTTCTGCCATATGATGGCACAAGGTGTTCAGTGGATGATACACTGCTTTGTCTGGCAGGAATCCAGCAGAGATCAGTATCAAACTAACAGATTTGAGGAGGTTTAGTCTCTGATAACTACAATTTCCCAGATTACTCATTTTGTTACTTCTCTGTAGGCAAATTAGTTCAAGTTAAAAGTTGTGAACAGCATTGTTTTTCTTATGATTTCTTGATCAGTTACCTATGTACTGTGGTGGGAAATATATCATAAGACCAGAGCTTTTAATCTTCTTGTCAGCTTCTTCATGGTTTCTAAGTCAGTCCCTGCTTGAGGACTGCTAACACATCTTGGTCTTGTTTACCTTAAAACGCTCTCCTCGTCACCTGTCATACAGAAACATATTTTTACTCCTCATCTTGTCACGACTTAGGCTAGAGGACAGTGCTCATCTACCCCTTTTCTCTGTACTTTTTAGCTTTAAGTCATGTGTACATTTCAGAGGCAGAAGCAGCTTTATTTGGTTTTTCACACTGGCCAAATTCCTTTTAAACCCCCAGGCCTTCAGTGCTGGGCCTGATCCCTGCAGCAGATGGACTGTGTGAATGGTTAGCCATCTTTGAGGGCTCTGACCCCTCCCCCTCTCAGCTCCCTGTGTGGTCCCTAACTATTCTTGGATTCCATTCAACAAGGCAAGCAGGCACCACCTCCCTCCCCCCCTCCCTCCCCCTTCTCTCCTCCTCACAAGAAGAAAAAATATAAGTGAATGCAGCTGAAGTTTACCCACCTGTTTTGCACGCTCTAAAAGCGCCACAGCAGTTGGTGAATATAAACAGACTCTATAGGGTTTTTTAAGCCCACCATGTCACAAGAGGACAGGAACAGGCGGCTCCCACAGGACCTGTGTGGAGGTGTTGGAGAAGTCACACTCTGCTGGTGTTGGAAGAAGTGTTGAGAGGCTGTACACCTCGCTTGCAAAGGAAGTTAAACAAGTTTCTCGACCAGGCCTAGTTTAAGAAAAAAAAACAACCTTTTCCCGTAAATATAGTCACTATTTGTCTGAGTTGGAGGAAAAAAGTCTGAATTGTCAACGAAAAAAAAGAGCATGTAATTGAATAAATTGAAATTGTTTCCATTTTCTTTGATTTCATTCTGGTTTGTGTAAAGCTTCAGGATTAACTCATGAGCTAATTGGCCAAGCTGTCTTCTAAAGGAGATGTTTAGATGTTTGTGTGCCAGTTGTTTTGCTGTGGGATTCACAGAGTTGAACCAGGGGGGCTGAAAGGGAACGCTGTGCCTTTAAGAGGCTGTGGCCATGTTTCTAAAGTTTCTGCCTGCCTTGTTTCCACCAATAGCCCATTGACAAAGCTGCTAGGGCCTCAATGGAGAGTAAAGTGGTTCGGTAACAAGGAGAGGTTAGTTCTCCCTCTGTCTTTCTTTCTTTCACACACACATATGCACATAAACGCAGAGTAACACACACACTCATGCACCATTGCACAGGAGCCACAAAACAAGGAGGAATGATGTGCTAAAAAAAAAAACAGGAGAATTCAAACAAAGGAGCTAAAAATGTTGTTCTGTTTCAGTGAAGAATTTGTATTGAATGGTAATCATTCCTCTATGCGTGTATTCTGATTGGAAAGAAAACACGCTAAAGTAAACATTAAATCAGCTCATCCAGGCTGCGGCATAGAGAAAGTTTTTCCACATGTATGGTGATTTGTCCAGAGTAAACTCGTCGTGAATTGACATTGTATGCGTTAACAATTTGCCTCCAAGCTGTATGTGTTAGGAGCACATGCTTTCCATCATATATTCTGAGCAGGAGCTTCCCCCACAGTTTTCACACATGCAGTCCCTCACGCAAACACATACACTTGTCATCTTTGTCACCTTTGCCATGTTCAGCTTGCCTGGCCGCCTTCCTGTCTGTCTGTCTGTCTGCCCGTGCTTAGTGTGTGTGTGTGTGTCTGTTTATATTTCTACCTGTCTGTCTGCCTGCTCTGAAGTCAGGCCACCAGGGCTTTTTTAATTGCTTCCTCCCTCCTACAGGACCAAAATACCATGAAGCAGAGCAGTCTGTGTCTAGAAAGAGTAGACAGAGAGAGGGAGATATAATGGAGGACAGGAAAGGTTATTGTCCGATTCATGCTTACCTTCCCTACCCTCATTCACATCCTTTTGTTTGTCTTCAGAATTCATACGCCTCTCCCACTTGCATCTGCAACTTATTAGTTGAAAGATTAATCCTCAGTCCCACACCTGTGTAGGTGAGACTAAAAGCCACAGTATCAGGGTGTTTAGTCTCCTAAGGAGATTAAGAACTGTTTCTGGCTCAGTCAAACCGAGGATATCCGAGAGACATCGCCTATCAAATGACTTTACACTCACACATCTTCAGTTTTGGACATGCTACACTATGAAGAAAAGATCATTAAACAAGTGCCTTAATTATTTTGTATTCCTATACCCTCCCCATGTTTTTATTTGAGTCAAGATTACGCACTGCCAACATACTGTGAGTGTGTGAAGGATGGCGTAAACTGGGAAACGGTCTGCATTGTCCACAAACAGAAAAGAGAGATCATAAAAAGGGGTGCAGGAAGAAGACATGGATGAGAGAAGACAATAGGGGGTTGGGGCAGAAACAGAGTGTAGGGTTTATGGTTAGCTCACACCTTTTTCTTTTGCTGGTATTTTTCCTGTCTCACTTGAACAAACATGTTTTTATCTCACCACAACTGCGAGGAAGTGTGCTCCTCTGAGAGCGGTTGAATTCTTAAGTTTGAAACTTACTAGGATCTGATGATTTCTTACTGCACTTTGTTTGAATCCTCGTCTTTGGCCAACTCTTTATGCTCTGGTTATTCTCTCTTTACAATGCTCCACTTGAAAAGCTTGTTTGGGAAGGAGAGAAAAGAAATGGGCTGCTTGTGGAAGAGGTGGTGTTTACTCTGACATCAACTAAACTCATCTTTCTTGGCAGGGTTTGGGTGAGGCATGACAGACATATACACAGACTCAAGCTGTCCAAATATGATTGTAGCAGGACAGAGCCTTGCAGTTGTACCACATGTCCCATAAAAAGGCAGTGTGGGGAGAAGGCGGTAAAGAGTGTGCAAAGTTTGTATGTATGTGTTCAAGTATGAATGCACAGTGACTGAAGAACGAATTTAGCTTGCAGTGAAATTAGACTGGATTGATTAAAAGAAAGAAAAAAAAAACTGCCCCGGTTGAAAAAAAAAAACACCCCCGAGTTTGCGCAAATCAGCGAAAACACACGTCGACATTTCACAGTTTGGAGCACTTTCTCTAAACAAACCTCAGAGCAGCACAGCAGGTAAATGCTATAATTCATTGGAGTGCACACGGCGCCCCAGTTCAGACAGAGAAAGGGAGCTCTATGAGGCATTATTGGAGGTGAATAGTGCGCGATGGTGCCCCAGCTAGATAAATAAACTCCTAGCGTTCAGGGCCCAGGACCTCACTGGTAGAGAGAACAAACAAGACCAGAGTCAACCTGGGTCACTTCTAAATGTTTATTTCACCCCCTTTCCTCCATCGTTCAATCCAACACTACCTCATTCCATCCCCTTTTTCAGCATCCCCCAACACACTTCAACGGACAGAGCAGGACCACCCCCTAACAAATAAACACACTGAACAGCAACAGATACATGTGCAAATGACAGACACGGGATATGCTGCAGCTATAGGAGAAACACATAGTCAACTTTACAACTCTTTTTAAAGTGACATTTTGAATCAAATTGACCACATGTTTATTCTCTTGTGAGCATCAGACTTTAACAGTGTTGAGGGAAAAAGGCCTCCACACTGTACTGTTTTGGTTAGTCTTTTCCAAAATGGACATTGGACTGTCGGAATCATTGCTACATTGAATGCAAGACCCTTAGAAAAGCTGCAAGGCAGCTAAAAACAGAATAATAAAACCTCAATCAGTATAGTGTGGCACCCTTTCTCCTCTTGCTGAAGAGCAACCTTTGTCTCTGGTCTGGGTGAAATAAAGCAACACCAGTCACTTTAGAGTTTGCACCATTTGTGTCCGCCTTTACACCATGAAAGTATAAAAAGTAAAGGGAGAGGGAGATTGAGGCAGGCACTGAACATTTTCTTGGTACTTGGGAGGGGGGAAAGAACTGCTTCTTGGGCCCAATAAATTCATTTCTCATCTGAATGAGACCAGCAACGTGGAAAAATTTTGCTTTTCAGCTAGGGATGAATGTATGTTTCAACCACACATTAAGCAGTATTAGCGGTCACTGGAGTGTCTAATGTGACTATTTTTCACAGTGACCAACACTGCCCATGATTAGCATAATTAGCAGAGGCAAGCCTATACATATGGAAATAGAAAGTGCCTAAATGCCAACCCTGGTGGAAATTTATGTGTGATGGCTAACACCACTGGCACATCTGAATAGAATGTAAGTGAAACTGATTTTTCATGTGATTTTTACAATTTTATACAGTTTTGAAGTTGTAATTGCGGGGCAACAGGTAATAAGGACTCGCAGAATTCAAATACAGTGAGGCGGATTGTCTTATTTTCTCCTGCTAATGCGCTGTTTAGAAGTATATCCCGAAATAATAATGCCTTTGATGATTTCCGAATAGATACACTGTATTTCTATAGGCAAGACAGCAAAGTGCCAGCTTCTCTTTCTTGCCCCGCGCCTCACCCTCCCACAGCCAATTCTGGCAGTCTTTCACAGGCTGGGAAAGTTTTGGTCCATTTGCTTTTGTTGCGAAAAAAGCTTTTTATTTTATTCTGCTGTTTGTTGGGAAACATTTGAAAGAAATTACAGGGTTTGAATGACAAAAGGGTCTGCATTCAGTCAGGAGCCATACTGAAGGATTGTATGGAGAAACGGCCCATCTGCTTCAGGCAGCCGTCTTTAGATGGGGCTGTGGTAGGGGAATGCCTTTGGGCACGGCTGGGCCTGATCCTGGTGACTCCATGTATGACTAAAAGCTGGGTGATTTGTGATAGTGGCTTAAAGGCCAGTCAAATTAATCTGTCTCTTGGTTCCCTTTTTAAAAAAAAAACTCAGAAGAACTAATGGGCCTATGTCACAGTTAAGAATAAGTAATATTAAAAGGATATTGTTTCCGTTTTCCCCTTTTGTTTTATCAAAACAGTTTTGATATACTGCTGAGACACTGTGAGGAAAAATGTCACATGAACTACCGATCCAGTGAAAGCATACACGTCACTCTCAGCCCTCTTCATCGTGGGTCTTCCTCTGTAGCAGCGTGGGGCCATTCAGAGGCTCCTCTAATCCAGCTAATCTTCCAAACGGAGGTTTGAAGGCAACCTGGTCTGACCTAGCATGGCCTGAAATTTGGACCGGTCCTGTAAGAAGCCATGAAGATAGAATAGAACACAACAGAATAGAGGGGGACTCAGATGGTGGTCTTGTCTCATCTCATATGTGAGAAACCACACAGAACTGTGGGGATGTTTGGCTCTCGTCATTAGGTGGAGAAGAAATGATTGAGGTTGCTGGAGATCCAGTATTAACATCAGTACCCATACATGCATACATATACCCACACATACAGGTACCTAGAATAACACATATTCATAAAGGCTATATTTGTAGACCTATAAACACAAAAGTTATAGTTCAGGATTAATTTTAACATTCTCCTTAGCTTTTCACTTTTTCAGCGTAATAACTATAAAACTATAGTTTGTATCCAAACTGATAAATCATACAACGTACCCCTACGTTGCTGAGCTGTTGGCCAAACTTTGTAAAATGATGGATTATTTCCTCAAAAAAAAAATCTATATAAAGTTAATCCCCCCCCCTTTGTCTACTCTTTTATCGACGCAGAGATTTATCTCGTGTTTGAGAGGTGCAGATGTAATAAAATTACCAGACGCTGGCATGTTCAAACCTCGGTTTCCACATTCAAAGACTCTTTCTTCCCAGGGTGGGAAAATTTCCGGGAACTGCCTCTTTAAGGCTGTTTGGAGCTCAGGCTGAGTGAAGGGAAGAGTAGGGGGTGGGGGGGGAGAGTGACGAAAAGGAGGATACGAACAAGAGAAGGTAGAGAAGGGAGAGATTCCTTACTGAGCGAGCGGTGAGATGAGCGGAGCAGTGAACAGAGCTGCTGAGAAGCTTCGCTGAGTTGTGTGGCTGGGGCCGGACCGGGGGGTGAAGGGGAAAGGCGAGAAAGAGAGTAGGGAGAGGACTGGCTGCCTGGGTGGTCCAGATGGGAGGAACGAGACACAAATAGCTATAATTTACTTCAGGAGGCCTATAATTACAGAGCCAGAGTCTCTTCAAGCCACCCAGTTCCTGTTGGGATCAAAACTCTGCGCTGCAGAGGTTAACATACGACATGTCAAAAAAAGTTTAGCAGATGTCAAAAAAGGTCCACAAATGGAAAGGGTTCCATTTTTTAGAAGGCGATTTTGAGTGAAAATCTGTTTTGGAAAAAAAACTTCCAGAGTACTTTGAATGTAATTACTACGTTGTTGTTGTTGTTGTAGTTGTTGTTGTTTTATGGACAGGTGTGGCAGTGTGAAAAGAGTGTATTCATGCTGATTATACAGTTGTCAATTGACAATTTGTTGTATTGCACATCTTCTTTTTGTTGTGTTTCCCGCACAATGAAACCTCTCTGAATAATTTGGAGAAAGATGCTCATTTTAAAGACTTTATTGGGGCAAGTTTAACCGCAAATAAACAGATTGACTTGTTATGCTCAAGTCCCCGCGAATGTAATTAAAGCTTTGAAAGAAAAAGGCTTGAAACACTGGACTGTGCCTCACAGGCCCAAAGATCTAACCTGATCTCACACTTTCACAGCGTAGGCTGAGTAGTTTGTTTTTTTTTGTTGCTCCCCATCAATTACGGCAGTCTGCTCCAGACTGGGGGAGGTGCAAAGCGTGTGAGGAAAGAAAATAGGAAAGAAGACAGAAAGATGGAGAGATAGGCCAAAGCGAGAGGCGTAAAAGAAGCAGGGAAATTGATGCCAAAAAAAAAAAGAGACGTCAAGTTTGAAACGGTAAAGCTTTGCAGAAGTAGGTAAAAGTGACAAAATTCAAATTGGTGGTAGCGCCTGTGTCCAAACGTTCCTACCTCCCCCCTTTCTCCCCCTCCCATGCCTCCCTTTCTCTCTCCGGGGTTGTCATGTAGTGGGACAGCAAGCGGGGCAGACGGGCTCTCTGTGATCCAGCGCGGCATGTTTCATGTCCACTTGGCACAGGCACAGATCCCCCCGGCTGGCAAACTCTTTTCAGGGCAACCTCCTGTAATTAGGGGGCTGGGGTCTACCGCACTGCACAGCATAGCTCTCCCTCTCTTTTTTCAAAGTTTTTCATCCTTCATATAAGATTTTTCAGCCCATCACAACTGCTGTCATCCGCATTTTTTCCACTTTGAATCTAAATCTGTTTATCTATCTCCTCATTTCTCTAAAAGCACGGCGATGTCCTTCGACATAACCACTTCCCTCTGCTCTCCTTTGTTATGTTGGTTTTAATCTGTCTTGATCCAACCTTATTGTGCGTGAAGATAAAGATGTGCAAGTCAAGTGTCCGAAATGATTCTTTTCCATGAGTTCAGAGTCTCCATGTACGCTTGCCATAAGCAGCACAGTAGAGGGTTCTGGGGCATCAGAAAACTGGTTTAACTAACTAACAGGGCACATCTGTTTCGCAGAAGGAGCCAATGAGAGGCTGTATTAGTCATTTTTCTTGGCCAGACACCGTCTTGTATGAAGTGCCTTCAAAACCAACACTGGTGAACGCCAAGGGCGTTGGTCAATATACGTGTGGATCCCCTTTGCGAATGTGTGTGGATGCAGTATGTGCATGTGGGAGCCACGTTGTGATCAGTTTGAAAAACACACATATTTAGCACATGTTCAAAATCTATTTCTTTTTCTTTCTTTGTTCATTTCTAGCTGGCAGCCGGGTCAGCACAGAGCTTCGCTACACCAGGGAGAAGCAAGGAGAGGAGTCCGTATTTACCTCACAGATGCTTATTCAGACCCCCAAAGAAGAGGGCACTGATATTCTTACCCAGGAGGCTTTGCTGCTTCACATGGAAGCTGCCCTGGCGGCCAGCAAGGTGCAGGTGTCACTGTTTGGAAAGTAAGTGGCTGCCTTATTTAAAAGGAAAACTTGCATTCATGCTTGAGTCACTACAAAAAACTTTAATATGAATTTGTTTGTTTTTTTACTTATAGATCATGGGATCTGAATAAAATATGCTATAAATCAGGAGTGCCTATTATGGAAAATGTCATGATTGAAAGGGTACGTAAAGTATTTTCCCAGTCTTTTAAATAACATTTATTCATTATTTTTAGAAGTTAAATAATTCTTTCTTTGTATTTCCCAATTGCAGATTATTGACAAGCTGTTTCCCTGTATGATCATCACTCCATTGGACTGTTTCTGGGAAGGGGCCAAACTGCAGGGAGGCTCTGCCTATTTACCGTAAGTTTTAGAATATTTCAACAAACATAAATTTTCTTTACACATGAAAGCACACATTAAAGACACATTAAAACACTTCATAGAGGGCCTCAGCGCTCCCCGTGCTGACACTGCCTCCATCTCCTCTGAGTGGCGCTTTTGGAAGGGCCCATAACTTTTAACACATGCTGGATGGAGACATACAGTTGGGCTTTCATTGTTCTGTCAGTGGGCGCTCTGACTGACAGCGGCGGTCAGTAATAGAGTTCTTTTTGGGCTCAGAGAGCGGCTGGAGGAGGGAGGTGCTCCGAGGGAGAAATTCAAAGAGCGATACAGCGATTCAGGGAGAGATACAGCAAAGCGATTCAGGGATGGAGGGATAGGCGATGGTTGAAGCAGCAACTGGGTGGTGGGCTGGTAGGACGGAGGGCGGGGAGGCGGCGGTGGCGGCGGCGGTGGTGGTGGTGGTGGTGGTGGCAGGGGAGCCCTTTGGGTCAGACAATGGTAAGCATTCTTTCAGTTTACGAGTGAGTGTCCATCAGTGCAGGGGCCCCAGAGGAGGGAGGGGGCCGGCTTTGTCAGCTCATGGCTAACACTCGGCATTCTCATGGTAATGCCCCGGGCTCTCAGCTCCCAAGTTGTCCAACAAATAAAATGGGCAGTATTCAAACCTCAAGTCCCCCGAGAATGCTAGAGAGAGGCTACAAGACTGTTAACAGTGGAGTCTGGGCGTATTTGCAGATTCAAGTTTTTTTTTCTACTTTTTTCCCTTTCATTCTCATTTTGTGAGACAAAGTTCTCTGAGAGTTCTCTTTTTTTGTCATCCAAAGTGATATTTCAATTGAGTGCTTACTGTAGAAAAAGATAGTTTAGATCATGGCAGATGTTTCTTTGTCGAGAAATTATTTGTTTATTTATGTGTGGAATGACAGCGCTGTGTTGGATGACAAGCCAACTCACACAGAAACAAACACAAGTTTCCCATCTTTTGCGTCTCCCAGTTGGTTTGTTGGAAGGCACCAGAAAGGGAGAAGGGGTCTTTGATGATTCACATTCCATCCAAGCATCTCTGCAATCCACACAAAGTGTTCAACATCTGTTGTTATTTATTAAGTGTCTATTACTCATTAATCATATGAAACTAAAGAAAACTAGCAGTTGTCAACGACAGCAGTTTTGCTTCAAGTTACTTCTGCTTCAAACTTACTTTAATTCCCCCACTCAAAGAAAAAGAAAGTGTGCAATAGGGAGGTAAGAAGCAAGAGAGAGAGTGTGTCCATGTGTATGTCAAGGAGAAAGAGGAAAAAACTAAGAACAAAAAGGTGCAATATATGAAAAAAAAAGGGTAGTACGTGGGAGGAAAAAAGGACATCTCTTTGTGAGCCAATGGAGGGAGATTAAGCCTTACATTTTCAAGCTTTTGGATTAGTTTATTTTCTTCATTATCACCATGAATTTCAGACGTGAACCAAAAATCGTAATAAATTTGACCGTGTCGAAAATCTTCAATATAGTTTAGCTGAAAAAGCTAAAAAGTAAACATACAGTTGCTAGCAAAGTAAGTTTATGGGATAGAATGCTTGGGAAAACCTGAAATTCGTCATTTTTGACGACAAATCTCTAATTTGTCATTGGCCATCAGTGTGTAAATAGTATGAACGCTCCCAATGGCTTTTACCCCTCATCCTTCACCTATTTTCCATCTCCCTCCCACCCATCTTCTCAGCCTAAGTCCTTATCAAGATGTTTTGGAGGCAGAGGTAATTGTTATGACTCAGTGCAGTGCACTGAGGAATGAAAGTGAGCAGGCACCCACCATTCCTTTTCCCTGGGCATTGTGGCAGCGTGAAACAGGATAATAAACGCCATTTTATCCTGTATCTGCAGCTAGCCTCCTGTGTAGCCCAGTGCAACAAAAGACTGGGGAGGAAACAGAACCAAAAGTTTCACCTTTAACAGTAAAAATTAGCAGTAACGAACTAAAGATGAGATTAGATAGTTTAACATTTCTTCTCTATTTTTTATTTTTAATCAAATTGGTTGGTTTGTTCATGATCCTAAGAAACAATTTTCTGTGCAGGGGCATGCCAGATATCCAATGGATGAATTTAGATCCTGTCAAATTGATGGAGGAACTGAGCCAGTTCACTTCTCTGGAAGCATTTAAGGAGATGTTGGACAAAGCCCAGGTAAAAACACACACTGATTTACTGACTGTTTAAGAGAATGACAGGAATAACTGGTATAACGAAAAGTATGATGAACACTTTCTTAAAATGCTGACAATTTTGCAACACGGGTTGATTCCTCAGGTGGGACATGCCTACATGGACAGACCATGCCTTGATCCTTCAGACCCAGATTGTCCTCTTAGTGCACCCAACAAGGAGCAGGGAGAGGTAACCTCACACAAAAGTGTTACCCGATATGATATACAACAAAATGTCTGAGTAGCAGGCACCTTTAAGCAACATAATCTTTTCTGTTTTTCGATCAACCCCCGTTCTGCTTGTTCATCCAGAGTCCTGACATCGCGGGCCGTCTCCAGGGTGGTTGTCATGGTTTTAGCCAGAAGTTCATGCACTGGCAGGAGGAGCTCATCCTGGGAGGACGGGTCAAAAACAGCCAGGATAGGCTGCTGAGGTGTGTATGTGTGTTAAAAAGATCAGATGGAGCAGTTTCAGCTGATTTTGCGCAATACAAGTTTCCATATGCCTGATTTTAGGATGTGATAGCAATGACGTGTATTAACGTCACCTCTAGCAGTAAGCCAGCTCACAAATCTCTGTTTAGTTCCCTATAAGTAGCACTTAAATTCTTCTACTGGGGGGATGATTTTACTGATTGATCCCATCTGGGATAAGTTAATTAAAGTTGATTGACAACTACTAAAAGCCTTGTGCCCTGCTACAAATTAATTACAGGAGGCACCGGAGAAGAAGGACAAAAAAACACTAATTCATATGATATCTCCATTTGACCCAAGTCTCTATATTAGCTAATCTCCTGAGTTATGCTTTTTTCCTGCTGACCCTAAATGGATTTAAATATGTGGTCAGCACAAATGGAGTGACAGCATTGGGTCCGAGCCTAGCAGAGACTCGAATGAAAGACCATTCCAGCTCCATCCGTGAGAGACACACTTACTCCAGGAAGTGATTTACTATCATTTCTTTCGCATTTTGATCAGCAGTTCTGTTTGCTTTGCTGGTGCCAAGAAAACCTGACATCTGGGATCCCAGCCTAGAGACTGGAAGACAGACTAGATAACACCTGCTCGTAGTTGTTTACATTGGCAGACAGACAGGAGAGCAGACAGGCAAATCACAGAAGACATGACACCTGCCTTTATCCTTTTAAAGAGAGGCATTAATAAGGTTTAGAGCGCAGCCAGATAACCCCTTATGCTTGTAGATATGATAGTGGAAGCACAGTTAGGGTTTCAAGTCAGTTCAAGCCTGTTGGTGTGTTTTGCAGTGCGGAGGCTCTCCAAACCATGTTCCTGTTGATGAGTCCCAAGCAGCTATATGAGCACTTTAAAGGTGACTACGAGATCCATGACATCAACTGGAATGAAGAAAAGGCAACAGCCATCCTCGAGTCCTGGCAGAGAAAGTTTGTGGAGGTGCGGAAATACACATTTCACATACATTTCAAGGAAACTGGGCTAAATAGAGATAAGATGATAAGGTATTCCCTTGTTTCTATGTAGCTTCGTCCTGAGCTGGTACACACATACACACACACTCTGCAGTGTCTGAATTCCATCATTCTTCGGCTCCCTTGTAAAGTGAATCACAGGGCAGAACAGGGCGCCATGTTTGTGTGCGTGTGTGTGTGGTAGGGCAATCATCTCTCTCTGTCAGAGCCCTAGTTATAGGAACAAGCTGTTGCTGTGATAGCTGACACCCACCACAGTGAAGGGCAGGGGAAGGAGGGAAGAAAGTGAGGTATAAGTCGAAGGGAGGAGGGGTAACAAACTCAAATGTAAAGCGACAAAGACACAAGACCGCTTCCTGATATACTAAAGAGGAAGCATGTCTGCTAGGAGAAGCAAATTATGGCTTAATTCTTAATGGTATATAGCTTTTAGGAAGATTTGCTTCATTTATGGCTCAAAGTGCGTAGAGTAGCTGCCTGAGCCATGTGATCCCATCCTTTTCACCTTTGACCTCACAACCTCTGGCATCTGTGCTCATTACTCTCGGTTGTCATACTTATACATGCACACACACATGCTGCCACATGTAAAAACACCACCACAATCATTCACTGACTTTTGGACACATGCACATTTCAATAAGACAAGATTCTTTCCCGGTTTAATTTAAATTTGAATCAAGAGTCTGCAAAAGATGAGGCAGTGAGAAAGTCATGGTGTGAGATTGGTGTTTTTGGAACATTTTTCTAAGATGGTTTTGCTTGAGTGTATTTTATATTTTGCTTTCAGTGTTTAAAACAACTTTTGACAAGTAATTGTTTCTCCTATAGTCAGTCCACCAGAGTATTCCAGCTAACTCAAGTCAGTCCATCCATGCTTTCTCCACCACCACCCTCAATGACATCATGAAGTCGTTCTCTGATGTCAGTGTTATCAGAGTGGCCGGAGGATACCTCCTTATGGTGAGCATGTGAACTCATTCTTTTTTTTAATATTGATTTTTATATATTGATTGTACATTGATGCAGTGAAAGATATTTCCTTTACTGTGATTGTTTCTAAAAATGCACCTGGATGTTTCCTCTTTAGCTGGCATATGCCTGTGTGACTATGCTAAGGTGGGATTGTGCAAAATCCCAAGGAGCCGTTGGGCTGGCCGGGGTCCTGTTGGTCGCCCTCTCTGTGGCAGCAGGATTGGGTCTTTGCTCCCTCCTCGGCCTCTCTTTCAATGCTGCAACCACACAGGTAAAACACAGAGAAAACTACATTCATTTTGTTTTTTAACTCCTTTAACTAATCCACCTTTTGATTCCAAACCAAGATCTGAATGTAGCTCACTTCAAATGCTCATTCTAACTTCTCGTTCTATTGATGTGTTTCCCATCCCAGGTGCTTCCCTTCCTGGCACTGGGGATTGGAGTGGATGACATGTTTCTTTTGGCTCACTCCTTCACAGAAACTGGAAGCAATATCCCCTTTAAGGTACTTTTAAAGATCTCTTCTTCTCTGCTCTCTGATTCTTCCCTGTCTTTGCCTCTGTTCTGACTTTGCCTGTGTCTGTGTGTGAAGGAGCGGACGGGGGACTGTTTGCGTCGCTCCGGCACCAGCGTGGCTCTGACCTCCATCAACAACATGATCGCCTTCTTCATGGCCGCCCTTGTGCCGATCCCTGCCCTGCGAGCTTTCTCATTGCAGGTACGTTTCAGCACACACTCACATGCACGCACAAAGACGCAAACACAACAAGCACACAATTGCTCTACGTGAGGCCTGAGGCTCCTTTGCAAATGAAAGAGATAACTTAAAAGAGGTGACATTTATTCAGAGCAAGGCAAGCCTTTGTTCCCAGTTTTATTGCCACTACACCTAGAGGGCCAACAATGTTTTGTGTGTGCATGCCTTTGCATGTGTGTGTGTGTGTGTGTAATAGGGAATATTCACAGCAAAGAGAGTGACGAACAGACTTAAAGAGGCAGACAGAGGGAAGAAGGGGAAGGAGGGAGGAGCAGATCAGTATATCACCAGCCCGTCAAGGCGGTTTTCTCTGATCTATGACTAACTGTGGGTGGTCTGAAACACACAAGCACAGACACATGCATGGTTGTTCACACACTGCAACCATAGAACTGAAAGTCAGCTTCAGGGGCCGGGGTAAGTGGTGAGGTGGTGGAAGTATCGAAGAAGGGTGATAGTTCTGCGCAGACTCACACCATATATACCCTCCCTAATTCTTTCATTTTCTTTCTCTCCCACTGGCTGACTTAGTGTTCCTTGCTGATTTAAAGCAGAGCTTTTCTTTACTTGCTTGGATATGGTCACAGGCCCTTTAAAAGGCCTAACTTTCCCCAGCTGGAGTTTGGTGGAATTATACACACTGTTCTCTGACTTTTTCTCACTTTGTATATGTGTTTTTTTTTTGTTCTCCTCACATTTCTTTCCCCAGGCAGCCATTGTGGTAGTGTTCAACTTCGCCATGGTGCTGCTCATCTTCCCAGCCATCCTCAGTTTGGACCTCCATCGACGCGAAGACAAGCGTTTGGACATCCTCTGCTGTTTGTACAGCCCCTGCTCCGACCGCGTTATCCACCTCTCTCCAAATGAGCTGTCGGACGCCGGAGACCAGCTGCACTCTCCCACAACAGGGCCGTCACATACACACCAGTACACGGCAGGGTCGACAATCACCACCAGCACCCAGATCACCACAACGGTGCAGGCGTTCACACAGTGTGACGCAGCGGGCCAGCATATCGTCACAATCCTGCCAGCTACCTCACAGATCTCCACCAGCCCCGCTTCCATCATTGTCTGCCCCACCTCACAGGCCCAAGGTATGCAAAGCCACATGACAAGATTTTTAGTATTAATTGCAGTCGGTCTTAGAAAAAAAATCAATAAACATATCTCTATTTTATTTTCTCCTTCCAGCCACATCACCTTCCCCTGCAACCCCCTCTGTCCCAGACCCGTTTGGCTCCCAGCTCTTCACCCCTACCTCCAGCTCCACACGAGACCTCTTAGCACAGGTGGAGGATTCCAAGTCGGGAAAGAAGTGTGTCCCATTCCCTTTCCTTCATTGGAACTTGTCCAGTTTTGCCAGGGATAAATATGCCCCCCTGCTCTTGAAGCCCAAGAGCAAAGCCATCGTGGTGGTTCTCTTCCTGGGCCTCCTGGGACTCAGCCTGTACGGCACCACCATGGTGCACGATGGCCTTTACCTGACTGATATTGTTCCACGCGACACCAAGGAGTATGATTTCATCGACGCCCAGTTTAGGTATTTCTCCTTCTACAACATGTACCTGGTGACCATGGACGGATTTGATTATGCCCGCTCTCAAAGACTGCTCATTCAGCTTCACAACGCCTTCAACTCTGTTCGATACGTCGTTAGAGACAGCGACAACAAACTACCCCGCATGTGGCTGCACTACTTCCAGGACTGGCTCAAAGGTAAAAATGAAGACACATTGACGTTAGCTTTATTGAGGGAGTCTAGTGATAAGTTACTCCCCGCCTCCCCCAGGGCTTCATTGATAATACTGAAAGACTTTAGTTTTTGGGGGGAGCAGCAAGTTTTTTCAGGTGTGCTTTTTTTCTAAGGGCGGCTCATAGCAGTGGGTGTAAGGGTGAGAATGTGCTAAGGGTGAGTGAAAGTTCAGTCACTCTGTTTTCCCCCCTCCACCTAGGCTCAAGGGGTGGTGTAGTAGATGGGCTGAGGTCATGGGTTATCTTTCTATGTGTGTGTACATATGTGTATGCATGTGTGTGTGTGCGTGTGTGTATGTGTGTGAGTGTCCTTGGGTTAGAGGGTGTCAGGGGCCCAGTAAAGAGGAAGTAATAGTTAACAGATTAATCAGGGCCAACTTTAAAAAAAAAAGTCCTGATATTTCACATTTTCAACCTGAATGTTCAGACATACATGCAGGATTGATATTCTAAGTTAATTAAATAGAAAACATATCAAATTGTTATGGAATAATATAATAATTGAATTTTTTTTAATCATACATGAAGGTCTTCAAGCTGCTTTTGACGCTGACTGGCAGGCAGGCAGGATTACTGCTGACAGTTATAGGAATGGCACAGAGGACGGAGCTCTGGCATATAAGCTCCTCATCCAGACCGGTTCTAAAAAAGATCCTTTTAACTACAGCCAGGTAAGAAAAGCAAAGAAACTTTGAAAAATCGATGAACAGATTCCTTTCACTTTCCATGGTCTGCGACACAACAAATACTCAATGTATGGATGTACCTTCCACATCATTTTTTCTCTAGCTCACCTCCCGTCAGCTAGTGGATTCAGAGGGTTTGATCCCCCCGGAGGTGTTTTACATCTATCTGACGGTCTGGGTCAGTAACGACCCTCTGGGCTACGCTGCCTCCCAGGCCAACTTTTACCCTCACCCCAGAGAGTGGACTCACGACAAGTATGACACCACAGGAGAAAATCTGCGCAGTAAGTGTTATCATAATATTTTGGCCATTTTGGTGTACATGGAAATGCCTTGCACATGAAAACACTGAATAATGTTTTCATGTCTTCTCACAGTCCCAGCTGCTGAGCCTCTGGAGTTTGCTCAGTTTCCCTTCTACCTGAATGGCCTTCGTCAGGCCAGTGACTTTGTCGAGGCCATTGAGAGTGTGCGGGCCATCTGCGACGAGTTCAGTCGTAAGGGTGTGTTCAATTACCCTAATGGATACCCCTTCCTGTTCTGGGAGCAGTACATTGGCCTCAGACACTGGTTCCTGCTGGCGATCAGCGTGGTACTGGCGTGTACCTTCCTGGTGTGTGCACTTCTCCTGCTCAATCCCTGGACTGCTGGCATTATCGTAAGTCAACAGTCTTCTTAATGGCTCTTCATTGTGTCCTCTTATGTCTCATCTTCTCTACCAACCCTAATTTCACCATTTCCCATTTCTTTCCCACCTTTTTCCCACCTCATCCCAACTCATTATAGTCTGCCTCTTCCTCTTCCTCATTTTCATCTCTCTTTCCTCACACCCCTCTCTGCATGGCTCAATAACACTGTCTAGGGGGCCCCTTTTTCTCTGTGGAGGGCCACTATGAGCACACACGCACGCACACAAGGACATTGTCATTCTAATGTAGGCTCAGCCAGTCTTAGAAAAGGAAATGCAAAGGAGCAAGACGGGCTTTACCCTCCTGAAGCCTCTACCTCCAGCTCCCTTACTGCTTTTGTCAAATGGAAAATGAAAAAATCTGGGGACAGGATAGATCTACCCAGTTGCGACCTTGGCCTGCTCGACCCATCCATCAGGGATATTCATGTGTGTGTGTGTGTGTGTGTGTGTGTGCGTCGGTGTGTGAGAGGGGAAGAGACAATCTGAGAATGCAAACCAGTGAGAGTGGTGGTCCCAAAAAGCCCCACGCTCACACATCTACATATTTCCCACCAAGGGCCCGTGGCACAACAACAGATCCAGTTTCAGTAGGAATGTGATTCATTTAAGTGGTAGTCTAAAGCATTAGTGATTGAAATACCAACACGGGAGGTACATGGACGTATAGTCCACAAGCATATTCCAGGCTGTAATGGTTTCACTCTGGCTGTAGGTAGTTGAGTGGTGAAATGGTTTTTATAATTTACGATATAATCATGCCCCAGCTCAAACCCTCCGTTGGGATCAAAATCTCCTGCTTTTCTATATCTACTTTTTTCTTCTTTCTTTTTGAAGGATAGGTTGTTGCTATTTGCATAAAAGCTGATTTGCTACCTTTGACATTTATTTTACTTGAATATCAGGAACTATCCAACAAGCAACAGAAGCCGTTGTTTTATGAAAAAACAATATAATTTGTTTTACAAAAATAAATGTGCATGAATATGGTGTCAGGTGATTGTAAGTTCCCATTCTCTTTGGTCTTCTGTATTGTCAGTCATTCATGCGCCTCAGGGGAAAAATTCAAGAAACAGAGAAGGAAAGGGAGACAAAAGGGGAAAGGGGATGCTGTTAGCCTGAAGCAGGGAAATTTGATCCCATGTTCTTGAAATCTTGAGCACAGGGTCGCAGATTGTGTGGTTTTAGAAGGCAAAAAAGCCAAGTCAGTCATTAAACACGACATAATCACTTTATGATGTTTAGCTGAATGTTTCCAGTTTAACTCTGAGTTTTTTTCAATCCCAGGATGTTGGAACACTTCATTTTTCTTCACAGGAGATGCTAACACTTCATTTCCTCATGCGTATTTCAGGTGTTTATCTTGGCCATGATGACTGTGGAGTTGTTTGGCATCATGGGTCTGATTGGCATCAAGCTCAGTGCCATTCCTGTTGTCATCTTGATCGCTTCGGTGGGCATCGGAGTGGAGTTTACTATTCACATCGCATTGGTAAGTAACCAAATTTAGCAAAGTGCCACAGTAAAAGAAAATTAATTAATTAATTAAATTCACTTCTGAAAAGGAAATAAAGTTAGGGCAATTGTTAGTTACTAAAGATTTAATTTTGGTTTCCCTTTTCTTGCTGGTAAACCTGCGATCCAGCAGTGTTTTTTTCTGGTAGTGAAGTGTAGTGATGCTCAACAAAGCCAAATGTGGCAGGTTTAAAGCTTGTCAAGTTTTGCGTGACCGGCAAGATTTTTTAACCAAATTTCTCTTCTCCACCTTTTTTCTTTGCCACAGGGCTTCCTGACGGCAATAGGCAACAGGAACAAGCGCTCGGCGGTCGCACTGGAGCACATGTTTGCACCAGTGGTTGATGGAGCCATTTCTACATTATTGGGGGTTCTCATGCTGGCCGGATCAGAGTTTGACTTCATCATGAGGTGAGACGCGATAAAAGCGCATGGGTGTGTTCGTGTGATGCGTATGGGCAGGGACGCTGTGTTTATGCTTTTGCGCTGGATGACGACAGCACTCACATTTGTTACAAAGATGGCTCATCTGCATTCATAGGGAAGCCTTCAGGGGGGCGCAGGGATGCAAGCATGGGGAAACGTTATACCCCTATTTGTGCACATATGCATTCACGCAAAGTGACAACTATGCACCTGGTTCTGTCACTCTGGGCACACGCACACACATCCCCAACCTCCGAGTGCGACAAATGGGGAAAACATCAAGGGTGTGTAGCAGCTGCTTGTAAACATGGAAGTGCTCCACTGCCCACTGGGTGGTGTCTCTCCAACTCTCTCACTCTGTCTCTTTTACACACACACAAGAGAATCTGTAAAAATTCCTATCATCCGTTTGGCATTCTGTCCCTCTGTGTTGGATGCCGTAGTAAAAAGTGGAGCTAAATTTGAACTGGTCACCCAGTGAAATGGTCTGCAGCCCACCAACAGACACCCCCCTCCCCCTCTCTATGTGTGTGTCTGCATGGTTGAGTGTAAATCTTGTCTATGTGTGCAAATTCTCGTGTGTGTGTGTGTTCTCTACCGCTGTTTCTTGGTCAGAGTGGAAAAAGGCGAATAGCTCCATGTTTTTCAGCTGAATGTGGTCTCGGCCCAAACCCCAAAACCACAACCTTGAGCTCACAGGCTGCAACAGGCCTCCATGACATAAAAAGCCCAGTTTTTCTGAAGAAACAGAGACAGAAGCAGATGGAGAAGGAGGAGGAGAAACAATCTGAGGATGGAATGAGGTCCTTGTGGGTGGGTGGGTTGATCAATGGATAATGACTAATGTCAAGAAGACTGAGTTTAGTTGGTGTATCTGATTGCCCTGAAATTGCGCTCAAAAGGCAGCTTTCTGCGTGTTTTTCTCGCTCTGCCATTTGAAATAATATTGTCAGAGGATGGAAAGAAATGGAGGGGTGTTGTCTCTGTTGGAGGTCTTGTTTAGCTGTTGCTGTGATCGGGTGAACAGAGTGAGCCAGTGCTGGCAGGCTGGGGAGTAGCATAAATATCCTGCTGTAAACATCTCCTGGCCTTGTATTGCAATGAATAAACAACCAGCCAGATTCAACTGCTCATAGGCCTCAATTTCTCACACACAGTTACATAGGACTGCATTCACACTTACGCAGTCACACAGGCGCACACATGAGAAGAAATGCACATATGTGCAGGCATGTAAACACTTACAGTCACTTTCTCACACACACATATATACACAGGCCTTCCCAGGCCTGACAACGACTGGAAAAGATTACAGTTTAAATAAACAAAGGAATTCCTGACAGCGAGGCACTGTTGGAGGTCTTACCATCGTCTCTTTCGGCCTTTCCTCTTGACTTTTTTTGCCACTATGTGCAGAAGTTGAAAGGTAGCATTTGAGTAGAATAAGCATGTGAAATAAGTAACAAATATTTTCTTCATCTTTTACATTACAATGTGTTTCATTTGACAAGGCATGTCAGTTATTATCACAAAAATCTGTACACAGAAGAATGGTGGCTGACTTACAGCAATTTTTTATTTACTGAAGAGTGACCTTTGCCAAGTAAAGTAGTAGTAATAATCATTTCAGCAGTCCATTCAGAGAGAAGCATGTTTCCACAACACTCCACAGCTCCCCTTCCCTCATACCAAAATCATCATTTTTTTCCCCCTCCTTTTTCTTTTACCTCTTAAAGTCTGGTTGGTGGTTAGCATCTTGCTGTCTCTCTCATTCTGCTTTCTGTTAGCGTTTAAGTAGAGTCCTCTCTAATTTTCTTGGGGAACTCTTTCTTGTGGCGTGCCTCCACCCCGGGCCTCCTCAGAGCTCCACCAAGTTGCATGCACACACCAAAAGATACTCAGGCACGGACACATAGATACATGTAGACCGTGTGAGAAAAAAAAAACAGGGAGAGAGAAAGTCAGATGCATCAAAGTATGTTTTAGTCAGGCTGAGTGGAGAATCAGATGTACCTCAGAACAATCCATATAGATCAAAATATGCAAAAGGAAACACGATTGAATAGATTTAGATACTGTGAGACTGTGGCAGTGTGCCAATACACGTTCCAAATTATGTGTGACTTGAGCAATATTGCAATGTAAGTGATGTAATATTGCAGTGTAAGTGAGAAAGGTCCTTTTCCATCGATTTACTTCTGTCTGGTTGTTTATCATTCATGTTGTAACCACTGCCTCTTGCTTCTCTATCCCTCAGGTATTTCTTTGCTGTGTTAGCCATCCTGACTGTTTTGGGGATGCTAAATGGCCTGGTTCTCCTGCCGGTCATCCTCTCCATGATGGGTCCTCCAGCCGAGGTCACCCCAGTGGACAATGCCAGCTCCCTGCCGGCCCCTTCCCCTGAGCCCCCTCTCCCTCCACCGATTACTCACCATGGGTACTACACCGGCCACCACAACCCACGGGCGCCTCGTCAGCAAGCCTTTTCAGAGTCATCGGACTCAGAGTATTACTCCGAGTTGACCACCACATCAGGGATTGGGGAGGAGGATTACAAGTACTTTGACCAGAGTGCATACCCAACATCACACAACAGCATTCCACCTGCAACATCTCATATACTGCTGGAAGCCAGCAAGAACCCCAGCTTTCCCAAACTCACGGTACGCTTCACTTCCTCCTAACTCTATATGAATATAGACGACTAAATATTTACCAGGTGTTCGCTCTCCAAAATGATGTTCCTCTCTGAGATTATAAATGTTTTTCGTTGTTTTAGGTGGTGAAACCATACAAAGAAGGTGCAGCGAGTGGGAGGATCGAACCACTGAGTGAAGCTTCTCACGCCACGCAGTCGCCTCTGGGCTCCCAGGTTTCATGTTGGGATAGAACCAAACAGGAGCAGCCACCAGGCCTCCAGAGACAGCCGGCTCAGCCCAAGACACACTTACCTGGGGACAGAGCCCACTTTCCCGGCAGGACTTGTCAAAGCGGCCCTAGGCCGCCGAACGGCCGGGCGCCGCACCCAAACAGGACTAAGGGGCCAAGCCACAGCCACAGCAGCTCCGCCCTGCCGACACAGCACAGCTCGTCCGGGGGACCGGTTACTATGGTTACCGCGACGGCCTCTGTGACGGTGGCCGTGCATCCAACTTTGCCCGGGGCGACGTACCAAGGTTACATGCATGAAGGTTTTGACACGGACAGCGAGTCAGACTGCTTTGAAGTTGCGAAAAGGACTTACGGTGACAAAACAAACTTTTCTTCATGTACGAGAGACTCTCTTGAGCTCCAGGACTTGGAGGCGTCGCAGGGCCAGGCAGAATATCAACTGGGAAAAACACATGGTGAGTAGATTTTTTTTTTGACCCCATGATATTTACAAACCTGTGAGACACATCGAGACAGACAGTGACAATTCCCACATTTTTTTGGAAATTAACAGCTTTATTCTTTCTGTTGCAGGTGGGTTGAGGATCCAGGCATCCAAAGATTGCTAGACTCTCACACACCATGCCTTCTCTTCGAGTCTCTGATTCCCAGAGCACCTTTGTGTCTACATGGCGTTGCATCGCATCTTGAACTCTCAGTCGCATATAGACTTCACGCATAAAAGAGATTCATGTGAAGAACATGGGAAAAAATGACATCTTTTAAGAATTATATAAATCTATGAGTATATATTTTAATACTAAAAAGAGGGAAGTTATTTAAAAGAGTACTGTATAACTTGGGTATACTCTTGTGTAAAGTTCAGATGTAAAAAATTATTTTTACGTGGAGTGTCGGAATCCCCCCACACACACTGTATAGAATAAGAAATGTGCTATATGTTCTCACAAACAAATGAGATGTTATTAAGGTATTAGGCTATTGAACATAAATGGTCAGTGTTGTATTTGTATTATGTTTTTTTATTTTTGCTGCTACTCTTCAACATAATTTTAAGCAATTTGCCTTAAAAAGTGCAGTACCCCCTCTACTCCCTCGAAAATACCTTTCACAGAATTAACCTGTGAGAATACTCGTCTGACACATTCTCTGTTTTATAAGTATACTTGTTCTCTTACACAGTGTGCACTGTGAACAAAGAATAATTACACACCAGACACTGTTTTCCTAACAGTAGTAACCATTGTGCCTTCACTGTGTTCCCCTCTGTCATTATTAAAGCATTTAGAGGTCAGTATTATGTTCTTGCCTTGGTTGTAAATATGTGTTTGTCTCGTGAAGACAGAGAATGTTTGTCAAAGACAGTGGCTGGCTTATTTGTCGTCAGTGATAAGTGTCTATTTACGTTCTTTTTCTTTTCTTTTCTTTTCTTTTTTGTGATGATTCAGCCATCATGTTAGCAGTGTCACTCCTATTCCAGATTTCATAAATTCTATATCGGGATGTCTCAATGTCCTCTGCAGTTTCTAACTACTTGAAGGAGCTTGACATGGTTTTCTTTTTTCTTTTTTTCTTTTCTTTTTTGCAGTTTTCGTAAGCTCTACAGTGGGTGGTGTTTGTGTGCCACTTCATGTTTGACAGAAGAGTTGTTCACCTTGTTGTTAAAAGGGAATTATAACATGCAAAGGGAGTTATGCTATTATTATTATTTTATTTTCTCCTTTTTAATTCTATGCTGGCTGCTTCAGGGTTGTTAAATTTTTTCTAAACTCGTGCAGTTTTTCTTAATGACACAAACTGCTTTCTAACTTTTAACTCCTTTTCGTCATTACAAACCTCATACATGCCACATTGCATTACTATTATTTTGAGTTATTCTTAGGATTCTCATTCAACTCATCCTGTCTAGTTTCACAGTTGTTGTTCAGTATTGGTCTCATCACTGCCAGGTTTAATTGCAGGGATTATTTTTATGTCATGTTTTAAGTGGCAGCTTTGTTTTTGTTTTGTTCTTCTGGGGGGAGGGTCAAAATGAAAGTAGCTACTGCAGTCAAGAATACTTAAATTAAAGAAGCAAAGCACCATTTTCACTTCGATCAAACAGCCTGGAGGTGATGTCAGATGATGATGAGGAGATTATTGGGGAGGTAGGGCGGGGGGAGCTCCTGCATTGGTTTGTAGTGTGTTTCAAAAACTGTTATTGTCATGCCATATAAATTATTTATATTTAAAATTTTATTTTTGTAGTTTGTACAGATGTTAGTGTCTAGACTGAAGTTCTATTTTTAAAGAGTAAATATATATTATATATAAATATATAAATATTTGTTGCTGAGTTTGCTTTTGTTTAATTGTTGTGTTTTTGTTGCCTTTTGGGATGATGGGAATGTCAGATGATGGAGGGGATCACAATGCATTAGAGCAGAGACCTTATTTTGAGTGTGTGTGCGTGTGTGGAGCCAAGGGGGGCAGTTGTAGGATCATGAAGGAGGAGGTGTTGTGTAGGAATGTGTCACTGTTACGCCTTGTGTTTTAAGTTTCCTCTTGGCCCTTCCTTCTTCATTGTTATTTTTAAGATGTTGTCCACGTCTGAAACACTGTGACTTCTGAAAACTATGCTCAAGAAAACCCATGTGTGACCATATTGTTCCCTCACCTGCTATAGAAATTTAACTAACAAAATAAATTGATTGAAAAAGTGTTTTCTGGGTTTTTGGTCTTGTCCTTTCGAACATGTGTTTTCCCGTGTGACCCTACAAGATATATAAAGGTCAGGGCAGATGAGCCTTTAAGACTGATGATGTTTGCTGGTTAAATACACACAGCAAATATACTAAGTCTTATCAGGGTGTTTTCTTTAGATATCAAACAATATGTTCAATGACACTGTGCTGCTTATCATGCCTTAAGAGAAAGGTTCTTTTTAACCTAAACCTTATCTGAGAAAAATGAAGCATAAATTAATACTATCACTTTGAAAAGAAACCCCACACAAACAATTAGCCAAGTAATTCAATTTAATCCGAGCCCCATTTACACTTAGTCATATTTATCACAGAAAACAGTCTTGTTTTAAGTAAGATCAGCAAAATATGGAGCCATTACTCATCACTTTAGCAAATGGGATATTTAAATTAAAATTGTTGTTTTAGGGTTGTTCTAGCAAGAGGAATAAAATGGATATATGAACGCCAGAGACAAGCGGGTAAAATCCAATTCATGTTTATTCAGTTTCATTCAACAAAAGACAGACACCATATCCAAAACATGCAAAATAAGGCAAGGGAGAATACGACAGAGGTGGTTTATATACTGACCAGGAAGTGTTGACAAAACTCATCCTACATCCAATTGGGCTTATTATGGCTTTTTAAAGGATTTAATCAAGAAAGAGGCTCAGAGTGTAAAAATGGACTTGTTCAGTTCCACTAATTTGAGCAGGAGCCGACTGCCAAAGAAACTTTATTTGTTATTAAAGACTGTTTTTAGTTATTTCAATTCACCCAGTAGGAGTGATATCACAATCTCTCACCCCAAATTCCCTAAAGAATATGAAATCCTTAAAGGTGTTAGACTTGGAATCCACTGGAAGCATCTTGCCAACAGCCAAAAGCTGTGGGTGTCTCAGGATCCTGTTGATTTTATTTTAAAGTACTCAATACCATCACATTTGCAATGTCAGTTACTTAGTGCTGGAAGCACAAGTTGCATTCAATGTCCCAGATCATATGCCTAGTTGTACCCTCGTGCAATAACATCCATTTTATAGGAGATCAGAAAGTTCATGCCAGTCATATTTTATTGGTAAGGGGAGAAGATATTCATGTTTGCTAAAATCACTGGGCCAGCCGAGTAAAAAAAAGAAGGGTGTAGCTGAAATTTAAGCAAATTACCATTCACCCACACACACACACACACACATATATATATATATATATATATATATATACATATATATCCAAACCATTATTTGAATAATGCGGTCTCAGTTAATGTGAAAGAGTATAAAAAAGACTCTTCCCTTCCTCTGCTGAGTGTGGGAGCGCTGTGTGGGCCCAGATGGGAGCTGATAGTCCAGATAACATGATCTTGCTGTGCCAGCTCCTGACCTGAGTGTGGAGGTGAGATCAATGGACGATGAGAAAAAACAACAAAGGAACAAAAGACTGAACTCATGATCTGGTGATGCTGGGGTGTGCGTGCATCTCTGCCCTGCTTGGGTGGCCAGAGGATGAGCTCCCATTGTTACTTGAATTCAATGGGGCTGATTAGGAAAGTGTGTGTGCCTACAAAACATGCACCGGCATGCGCTTCTGTGTTATGCAGATGGGGATGTATGTGTATCTACTTTTGCACTGAATCCTGCCCAGAGGTCCAGGGTTATTAGCCGTAAAGCCAGTGAGAATGCCGACTTCAGGGTGACACACCACACAAATCTGGGGAAGGGAGACTGCCTCTCCATATTCATATTTTACACCAATAAATGAAACATCTTTGCATCCTCATTAAGCAGCAAAGCATTTTTAAGAGCCTGGGTGATGCACATACATGAGAATATCGATTATCACCTAAAAATCTTGCTCAGAGATGGCATTTATTGATGAAACAAACTGATGTTTTACACGACTGAATTCATCTATGGTTAGAGAGATTTTTTGATATTGACACATGATATGAAAACATTTGTTATGCTAAATTGATAACATTAAAATACAAACACTGTACTATATCCAGTTTTGTGTTTGCCCTTCAAAGGCTACTATGCGCTACATTGTCATTGTACAATATGTTGCATTCCCAAATCCCCAATATGTATGTACTTAATTATATGTATATGTATTATTTGTATGCCTATCCCTCCACTGATACCCCTGTAGTTAGCCAGAGCCCGGGGATTGTACTATGTCAGTAAGGCATCATCCTAAATTCAGATTCAGAAATAAAACAGAATAGTTTGATTCATGTTAAGACTACTGAATATGTGACATTCAACTAAAAATAGCTGAAAAGGTGATTGTTTTTTTATGTGAACAACTTTTCATCTTGAATGATTATCTAATTATGAAAGAATTATGAGACTTATATATTATTTTGATTGGGAAGATAACTTTACTGTACTTATTTTAATGTACTTACTCATGAACCCTATTTAACAATAAAATAAAAAACATGACTGTGTATGTCATAATTCTGATAATTTTTGTCAAATACCAATTTCAAGATAATTATAATCAAAATATGAATGATCACATCTCATCTAACATAACTCTGAACATTGGACCAAACAACTGAAATATAAATAAATGATGTACACCTGAATGTTTTCTTAAAAATTATTATTAAACTCTAACAATTATTTTAGCTTATAATGATACTTTGGTGTAATTAAACACCATTGGTTATTCTAGATTTATATGGCAATATGCCAGGCTAACAAATATTAATTGATGAATTGTAACATAGCATGAAACATAAATGGCAATAACAAATTATGTTATCTTAGGTTATTTTCTTTATTTTGTTTAACTCTCCACAGCACTAGATATCTTTAGCAAGCAACATTTTCCTCAAAGGTTAAGTCATTTAAAAATCAAGAGACTTTCATTGA